GAATGGGGTGGGAATGGAGATTTTGCAATATCCTTCCCCCAGGAGTGGGGAGGGAATGGAGATTTTGCATTATCCTTCCCCTGCCACACCCACCAAGCCATGTCCACCAAGCCACACCATGTCCACCAAGCCATGCCCACAGAACCATCAGGAAAAAAAAAATTGGATTTCACCACTGCCTCCATCTGGTTGACGATCTTAACTGGGACTTATTTTTGGGATAGGGCTTATATTACAAGCATCCTAAAAAATCATGCTAGGGCTTATTTTCCGGTTGGGCCTTATTTTCAGGGAAACAGGGTACTTCTTTGAGTTGTTCTATGCTCTGGCAGGTGCCCACTTTGATGGTCTCCAGTCATCGTTTTCTTTGGTGGCCTGTTTTCCTTTTACCGCTAACCAGTGGTGGGTTGCCCCCAGTTCAGACCGGTTCACAAGAACCGGTAGTAAAACCGGCGGGAGGTCCTGCCCACTGCCCCAGATGTCGTCATCAGTGATCTGCACATGTGCAGAAGTGCTCAATCCCGTTGCGAACCGGTGGTAAAGTTTAAGTAGAACCCACCCCTGCAGCTAACGTTTCCAAACATAACTCCTTCCTCTGTTACTGTGGTTCCTGCCTAAAAGTAGACCTGGAAAAAATCTTTCCAATGTACAAGAGCAGAGATTTCTAGACCAAAATTCTCTCCTGCAAACCCTTGTTTCTCGACCCTTAGAAAGTAGAAGATAGCACAAAGCAGACACCTAAATGCTAGGGTTGACCTGGCTGAACCAGCTGTCTTTCAGCCTCTTGTGCCGTGATCCATTTCGCTAGTGAAGAATCTTGGCTTAAAGAAAAAAGAAAAAATCAAGAAATCAGAACTTGCAAACTTTTCTGCCCATTCGCTCGATCCAGATTTTGCTGAGGGTGCAAATGAACCAACTGTGCTCCGTTTCCCCCCCCCACACACACACACACACACCCAACACTGTTTCCCCCGTCTTTCCCCAAACTCGCATTGCATGGAAAAGATAAAGTGTTCCTGATTCACCTCTTTCATACGAGAAAGTTTGATGGTTGCAACCTGACCACAGGCCTGTGTAAATCTCCCGATGTTTGGCCTCCTGTCTAGAAGGATGGACGTTTGCCAAAACCCAAGTTTACAAAAATTAAAGTGCAGTATAAAGTGAAGATCTGTAATTTTCTCATTTCCCATTTGGATCGGCTTCCACGTATGTTGTTTCCTTTGAAACCCATCGAATTTCCTTGCTCCTTTATTACAGGTGTGTGTGCGTGTGTGTTTGTGCACGCAGTAGCTGATGTGCATGGAGCCGGAGTCAGATGATCCAAAGAAGCCACTACCCACGTCAAAAGCTGTCCTTTAAAGAGGTAAGTGAAGAATGCTCAGGATGCTGCTGAACGCATGAAGTTGGGTGTTCAGAGGTGAAAGAATTCTAGCAAGAATTCTTTTCGCATTGGATCCGCAGTTTTTGCCCCAAGGCAGAATGAACACATAAAGTCCAAATAGAAACTTCCTTCCCTCCTCCCTCCCTCCCTCCTCTCTTTCTCCCTGTCTTCCTCCCTCCCTCTCTCCCCCTCCCTCCCCTCCTCCCTCTCTCCTTTCTTTCTCCCTGTCTTCCTCCCTTCCTCCCCCTCCCTCCCCTCCTCCCTCTCTCCTTTCTCCCTCTCTCTTCCTCCCTCCTTTCTTTCTCCCTCTCTCTTCCTACCTCCCTCCCACTTCCTTCCCTCCTCCCTCCCTCCTCTATTTCTCCCTGTCTTCCTCCCTTCCTCCCCCTCCTTCCCCTCCTCTCTCTCTCCTTTCTTTCTCCCTCTCTCTTCCTCCCTCCTCCTCCCTCCCGTCCCTCCTTTCTTTCTCCCTCTCTCTTCCTCTCTCCCTCCCCCTTCCCTCCTCCCTCCCTCCCTCCTCTTATTTCTCCCTCTCTTCCTCTCTTCCTCCCCCTCCCTCCCCTCCTCCCTCTCTCCTTTCTTTCTCCTTCTCTCTTCCTCCCCCTCCCTTCCCTCCCTCCCTCCTTTCTTTCTCCATCTCTCTTCCTCTCTCACTCCCACTTCCTTCCCTCCTCCATCCCTCCTCTATTTCTCCCTGTCTTCCTCCCTTCCTCCCCCTCCCTCCCCTCTTCTCTCTCTCCTTTCTTTCTCCCTCTCTCTTCCTCCCTCCCCCTCCCTCCTTTCTTTCTCCCTCTCTCTTCCTCCCTCCCTCCCTGTCTCCCTCCCTCCCTTCTTCCTCTCTCTTCCTCCCTCCCTCCCTCCCCCTTCCTTCCTCCCTCCCTCCTTTCTTTTTAACTTTTAAAAAGTCTACCCTACAAATTTGGCTGCAATATTTCTTTTTTGGCTCATGTGCCTCCTGGAACGATCACGAGCGGAATTTTGGAGGGCCCTTGCATCTGTATCATAGATTTGTGTTGAAAACAAGAAAAGCATAATCCAGAATCCAGTATTATTATGCACACACACACACAAAAAAAACCTTCCTGCCAACCTGATTTGAACTTCTAACGTTTCATGTCTTTGTGTGCATCGGCATGCGTGCAGAAAGCTGCCAGGCTACAAAGCAATGCAAGAGTCTTCAACATGTTTTTTTATTTAGAAGAAAGTTTGGAGTTTCACACGCCCAGTCCTTTTCTGCAACATTTCTCCTCTCCCTACCCATCGCAAATATAACAAATGCCATTAGAGAACCAGCATCATTACTGGAAAGGCATGCCATAAATCCTACAGTAATAATTATAGTTAGTAAACTTACTCGAAGTCTTGTCATAAGTCTACTATCCTTAGCCTGGGAATTATGGCAGTTCACACACATCTCGTTTTAATCATTCTCAGCAGAAAGACTTCTCTAATTGATCAACAGGACTGCCTGTCATTTTTAAACAGGCCAAGGGCAGAAGGGAAAAAAAATATACAAGTTGGTCTGAAGCACACTGGATTGGATTCCCCTTTAAACATCTGCCCTTTCCATGGAAAAGCTCCGCGTGCTTGCCATGGCTTCTACCAAGGGATTATCGCAAAGGACCATTCAGCCTAGCTAGGTTCATACAAACAGCCAAGCAAAAGAACAAGGAAAAGGCATAGTGGGTGTCCCACGAGTGCTTTTTTCAAGAGGCAACTGGACTTTTTTTGTTTTTTTTCCTTGAAGACATTTCTCTTCTCATCCAAGAAGCTTCTTCAGTTCTGACTGAACTGAAGTCAGAACTGAAGAAGCTTCTTGGATGAGAAGTGAAACCTTTTCAAGCAAAAAAAAAAAACCAAGAAAAATCCAGTTGCCTTTTGAAAAAAAAACAACAACGATGGGACAACCATGACTTGAATGACTGGGAATCTCCACAGGCACAATGGATGGATTCATGCAATTTCTGAGCAATCATGTCATTTGCTAGGGTGTGGATTAACGGGTTAATTAATCCACTATAGTGGTTTCTCCACCGTGATTTATGTTTCAGTGTCTAAGGCAGGGGTGAAATCCAGCAGGTTCTGACAGGTTCTGGAGAATCGGTAGCGGAAATTTTGAGCAGTTCGGAGAACCGGCAAATACCACCTCTGGCTGGCCCCAGAGTGGGGTGGGAATGGAGATTTTGCAATATCCTTTTCCCAGAAGTGGGGTGGGAATGGAGATTTTGCAGTATCCTTCTCCTGCCATGCCCACCAAGCCACACCTACCAAGCCACACCACGCCCACCAAGCCACGCCCACAGAACCGGTAGTAAAAAAAATTTGGATTTCCGCACTGGTCTAAGGTGAATCCAGTCTGTTATGGTTCATTCAATACAAGACAATTAAACAAACAGCAACTTGATGTGTTGTTGGCTGAATCCTACCTCTTACCCAGAATGGCGAGAAATTAATCTGGGTTCTTCTATCAGAGACGGTGGTCAAATGTTTTAGACAAGACCTTCCATTGTTGCAGGATTGAGGTCATCTCAAGACCTTTAGGGGAACCTCTTGGACGCCACGTTTCTTCCTTTGACTGTCGAAGTTTGGAGGGGTTCTGGGTTATATGCAAGACTTCAGGATCCTGCATCCATCCCTGGTATCACAAATCAAAGATCCAGGCTGGGGTGGACGCTGAAACTAGAAAGATGCCAAGTTAGGGGGTCAGTCCAGGTCACTAGCGATTGTCTGACGATGCCAAATATGGTGCCAGCAGTGCCTCTTGAAAGAGATGCTTCTGGATGCCTATATTTATCCCAAGAGCAGGATTATACTAGCGTTCGCCCAAAGTCTCTTTCCCACAGAGAAACCCGCAGCCCTTGCCCATAGGGGGGGCAGTTTTTAAACTGGTGGCTATTTACAGACCCCTCACATCCTGGACATAAATTGTTTCAACTCCTACCCTCAAAACGACGCTATGTAGCACTGCACACCAAAACAACTAGACACAAGGACAATTTTTTCCCGAACGCCATCACTCTGCTAAACAAATAATTCCCTCAACACTGTCAAACTATTCACTAAGTCTGCATTACTATTACTATTAGTCTTCCCATCGTTCCTATCACCCATCTCCTCCCACTTATGACTGTATGACTGTAACGTTGTAGCTTGTATCCTTATGATTTATATTGACTGTTTCCTAATATGATTTGATTGTTCATTTGTACCCTATGACTATCATTAAGTGTTGTATCTTATGATTTTTGATGAACGTATCTTTTCTTTTATGTACACTGAGAGCCTATGCACCAAGACAAATTCCTTGTGTGTCCAATCACACTTTGCCAATAAAGAATTCTATTCTATTCTATTCTATTCTATTCTATTCTATTCTATTCTATTCTATTCTATTCTACTCTACTCTACTCTACTCTACTCTACTCTACTCTACTCTACTCTAGACCCTCAGCTAAAGGAGACCCAGGACAAATTTGCAACTCATTCCCCCCCCCCCAGTTGAAGAGTAAAGCCAGGAAGCATCCTTGCATATTGGCTTTTTCTGCTTTCTCCCCCCTTGTCTCTGGGCATCCTTGACGTTCCCCTCACCCCCTCCAGCGGGAAAGGCCTTCGCTCTTGCCCTGCCCTCTTGTTGATGGGAAAACGTGTCCATCCCAGGCCAAAAACACCGCAGCAGCTTTCCTTACAAGGAATTTGGCTGGAGCTCAGCTGGCAAATACTGCCAGGGGAAGGGACTTCTCCCTCTCTCAGCCTCATTCATTCAAGTCAGATCCAGGCGACCGGCAGCTGTCCAGAGTGAGCGGTTGTCTCTTGGTTGTCCGCTGCAGAGACCTGGCTTCAGGCTTGCTTCTTTCCACCACCACCCCTCCACGTCGGTCCCCAGAGTTTTAGAGAGAGCTTTTCTGCCAGCTGGACACCGATTTAGCCCGGATGGATGAATGGATGGATGTCTAACCTGGGCTGAATTTCTCCAGCGTTCTTTGATGGGGCTCCTGTTGTAAACTGAAGGTGAGTTAGTTCATGGCAGTTAAAGCTGAGGAGGAAATATTTCCCTTTTGAAGGTAGCAGTGGGCATGTTACTCACATCCTGGACATAAATTGTTTCAACGTCTACCCTCAAAAAGACGCTATAGGGCACTGCACACCAGAACAACAAGACACAAGGACAGTTTTTTCCCCGAATGCCATCACTCTGCTTAACAATTAATTTCCACAACACTGTCAAATAATTTACTAAGCCTGTATTACTATTATTCTTCTCTTCCTTATTAGTATCTATCTTTTTCCACTTAGTACTATAACCATGTCGCTTGTATCTTTCAATTTATATTGTTTTTACTTGTTTCCTAGTACGATTTGATACCTTGTTAGTAACCTTGACTATCACTAAGTGTTGTATCTTTTTATTCATGAGGAATGTATTTTATTCTTCGTATGTACACAGAGAGTATATACACCAAAGACAAATTCCTTGTGTGTCTAATCACACTTGAACAATAAAGAATTCTATTCTATTCTATTCTATTCTATTCTATTCTATTCTATTCTATTCTATTCTATTCTATTCTATTCTATTCTATTTCTCCTCCTCTTCCTGCTCTGATTCTATTCTATTCTATTCTATTCTATTCTATTCTATTCTATTCGATTCGATTCGATTCGATTCGATTCGATTCTATTCTATTCTATTCTATTCTATTCTATTCTATTCTATTCTATGTTTCCCCTGACTCTGAAATGTGGAAAGCCAACCCTGGTTGCTTGGGGTTCTTCTGACTCATTCTGCTCACTCGAGCCATGGGCATCAGCTCCATCCTTGTAGCTGGTGCAGCATCCCAACCAAAGGAACCAAAAAGGGTGGGGTGGGGGATTCTTTTTGGCTCTGTCTTGAATGATACCTCACTCCCTCCCCCAGGGTTGACTAAGCTTACTCAATTAACATTGCCTCCTAGGTTTTGCACAACACGCTCAGCTACAAACTAACAAGGAATCTGGATTCTTCTAATATACAAGAGCTGGGCTGAGGTCAACCCAGAAAATATAGGGGCATATCCTACAGTAGTAAATCTTTACAGGCTGCGTTTTTGCCCAGCAGGCTTGCCCATGTTTACATTGGCTCAATAAATCCTTTTTTCCGGATGTGCATGACATCCCTAAACCATCAACAGACTAAGTTTGCACAAGATGCCAGCCTCAATGAGATTGGCTAGTTTGTGGTTCAACATGTTGTGAGAATTCAGCCAAACTTTATTTGATGGGAAGGAGTAAGACTCTACTTTCGACCCAAGAAGCAAAGAAAAATATGTTATAATATCGAGATAATATTAGAGATACAACTGGTCTTTTTTTTTTTTTTTTTTTTTTTTTTTGTATCTATATCACGTTTCTGGTCTCAATATTACCTCCATTGAATTCCAATTTACAGGCCTGTGGGAAATCCATGCTGGATTCACATTTTATTCTAAAGTCCTTATCTTACTTTGGGTACTGTGCAAACTCAGCTGTGATGGTTTGTGAATTTGTGTGAGCCTGACCAGCTTTTTAAAAGAGGAAAGGAGCCAAGGTCCCTGTCCTGAGACTTGCAGAAGATCCATCTCCAACATTTGAGAGGTTCACATGGATCAGTTTAATCAAGACAAGAAACAATTCTAGGAATGTTCAACCCAGAGTCATTCTGGGTTTTGTCCATCTTTTCTTCATTGGGCCACTGACTGCAATAGACCCAAAATAGACATCCAATTAAATGTTCTTTTTCTGATCTAAATTTAGATTTTAATCTAAAAAGAAGCTTTGTTTCAAGTTTTTCTGATGGGGGGATCTGCTCCCAATCTACCTTTGAATTTCTTGTGTGTGGTTCTTGTAGGTATTAAATGAGAGAATGAAACAGAGGTGGTTTAGTGGGAAAGATGCTTGACTGGGAGAGGGGAGACCCAGATGCTAGTTCCTTCTTAGTCATGAGTTGACTTTGGACCAGTCAATCCCTAAGCCTATGCAGTCCAGTGGAGAAGGTGCTGGACTAAGAATAGAACAGAATAACAGAGTTGGAGGCCTTCTAGTTCAACCCCCTGCTTAGGCAGGAAACCCTACACCACTTCAGACAAATGATTATCCAACAGCTTCTTAAAAACCTCCAGTGTTGGAGCTTTCACAACTTCTGAAAGCAAGTTGTTCCACTGGTTAATTGCTCTAACTGTCAGGAAATTTCTCCTTAGTTCTAAGTTGCTTCTCTCCTTGATTGGTTTCCACCCATTGCTTCTTGTCCTGCCTTCAGGTGCTTTGGAGAATAGCTTGACTCCCTCTTCTTTGGGGCAGCCCCTGAGATAGTGGAAGACTGCTATCATGTCACCCATAGTCCTTTTCATCAAAGTAGATACACCCAGTTCCTGCAACCGTTCTTCATATGTTTTAGCCTCCAGTCCCCTAATCATCTTTGTTGCTCTTCTCTGCACTCTTTCTAGAGTCTCCAGAATTTTTTTACATCATGGCGACCAAAACTGAATCCAGTATTCCAAGTGTTGGCCTTACCAAGTGGTATTAACCCTTCACGTGATCTTGAATCTATCCCTCTGTTTATGCAGCCTAGAACTGTGTTGGCTTTTTTGGCAGCTGCTGCACACTACTGGCTCATATCTAAATAGTTGTCCATGAGGACTCCAAGATCCCTTTCACAGTTACTACTATTGAGCAAGGTACCACATATACTGTACCTGTGCATTTTGTTTTTCTTGCCTAAATGTAGAACCTTACTTTTTTCACCCTTGAATTTCATTTTGTTAGATAGAGCAGGTAGATTCAGCTTCTAGCTCCTCTTCACCTACAGAAGCTCCTCCTCAGAGGAGTTGAAACCAGATGTTCTTTTAACTCAGCTTACCTGGATGGATGTTGTTTGTGGAACGAAAACATGCTCTATTGTGCTTAGGCTGGAGAACCGGTAGCGGAAATTTTGAGTAGTTCGGAGAACCGATAAATACCATCTCTGACTGGCCCCATCTGTTCTCTGCCTCCCGAGTCCCAGTTGATCGGGAGGAAATGCAGTAACCTTCCCCTGGATTGGAGAGGGAATGGATATTTTACAGTATTCTTCCCCTGCCACAGCCATCAAGCCATGCCCACCAAGCCACGCCCACAGAACCGGTAGTAAAAAAAATTGAAACCCACCATTGCTTGGCTTCCCCAACTACAGTCAAATTAACCCAACTGGTAAAAAGATAACACAACTCACCAAACTATCAGCTCACTCAGATCTGCATTACACACTAAGACAAGGGTGTCCAACCTTGCCAACTTTAAGAATTCTGGGAGTTGAAGTCCACAGGTCTTAATAGCTGCCAAGGTTGGATACTCCTGCACTAAGCCATAGTTAACCCATCTAGATTTTAGACTAGCATGCTGTACAAACTAGCTTTTATTTAATGCTGCAGGACTCTTATCTTTGATCTTCAGTAGCACATTACTTGAGTTACACGAAGCCCAGCTGTCTCTTGCTACTTGGGGGGACCTTCCCCCTCTTCTCCTCTCTTCTGGCCTATCTTGCTTACAGTTCAAAAGCCGTTTTGACTTTTCTCCTGTGAACAAAATTGTGTTTATCCTAACTCAGGGCTCTCTGAATCAAAAGCAGATGTGCTAAAAGGCTTAAAGCAGAAAAGATGCACATCAGTAGCTCAGCTCCAAACAGACCCCTCCACCCCATTCCAGACCTGGATTAACAGACCCTGGAAGTTAAGTTTGACCCCAGAGCTCAGCAATGCATAGAGCTCTATTTTGTGTTTTTATTTTAAATATGCCTACACTGTCTTTTAGGGGACACAGTGGCTCAGTGGCTAAGGCACTGAGCTTGTCGATCGAAAGGTTGGCAGTTCAGCGGTTCGAATCCCTAGTGCCGTGTAATGGGGTAAGCTCCCATTTACTTGTCCCAGCTTCTACCAACGTCGCAGTCCAAAAGCACATTAAAAAAATGCAAGTAGAAAAATAGGGACCACCTTTGGTGGGAAGGAAACAGTGTTCCGTGCACCTTTGGCGTTTAGTCAGGCTGGCCACATGACCACGGAGACGTCTTCGGACAGCGCTGGCTCTTCGGCTTTGAAACGGAGATGAGCACCGCCCCCTAGAGTCGGGAACGACTAGCACATATGTACGAGGGGAACCTTTACCTTTACCTTACGCTGTCTTTAAAAGAAGCAGCTCATGCCTTGTCCTACTTGTTTACAGCAATAGAATTCCATACAATCAAACCATAACATTACAAAAGAGCAAACAATGATACAGTTTACAAGTCCTAGTGATTAAAACAAGCAGCCTCACTGTTCTGAAATAAAAAATTGGATTGCTGCGGAATTCCACCGAGAGATGATGAAGCAAACCATGCATCTGGGCATGTCCTGATCACCTTCTACCTGGTGAAAATGCTCTGATTCGCAAGAATGATGGATTCATTCTGTTCTCTTCTGCCCAGAGGCAGATGGAGTTGATGGGGAGAAGCACCATTTTTCTCAGAATAACACAGTCAGGAGGGACCTTGGAGGTCTTCTAGTCCAACCTGCTGCAGGAAACCATATACCAACTCAGACAAATGGCTGTCCGCTCTCTTCTTAAAAGCTTCCAGTGATGGAGCACCACAACTTCTGAAGCCAAGCTGTTCCACAGCTTAATTGTTCTTACTGTCAGGAAATTTGTCCTTAGTTCTAGGTTGCTTCTTCCTCGATTAGTTTCCCTCCATTACTCCTTGTGTTGCTTTCTAGTACTTTGGGGAATGCAGGATGTGTGTGGACGCCCGGGGAGGGCGAAAAACAGGCTTACCGGAAGTTCGGGAAGGTCTGAAACAAAAAACAGGCCTACTGGAAGTTCGGGAAGGCCTGAAACAGGCCCGTTTCCAGCGTCCAGAGGGCCTCTGGAGCCTGGGGAGGTCGTTTTCGCCCTCCTGGAGGCTCAAAGAAAGCCTCCAAAGCCTGGGGAGGGCAAAAATGCCCCTCCGTGGTACAGACCAGGCCACGCCCACCATGGTCACACCCACCCTCACACCCACCCAGCAACCGTGCAGAGAACCCCTTGCTAAAAGTTTTGAAGCCTGATGGTTTCTTCAGCTTCAAGAGGACAAAGTGAAAGTAGCTTGAGAGATGCAGGTTTTCCAAAGCCAGACAACCGCTTCCTTTCAGCTGAGCTGGCAGCATGCCCCGTGTCATCCTGTCATTTGCAGAGTTTGGCTTACTGTATCGGGTGGTCTATAAACCAAGACTGATAGCTCGGTGTACTGCTTTATTTGAAGGCACAACTAGAGAAATTGTCCTCAGTGTTGTGTGAATTACCTTTGTTCTAGGCTGCATTAACAGAAGGGTAGAATCAAGATCACGTGAAATGTTAATGCCACTTTATAACGCCTTTGTAAAGCCACACTTGGAATATTGCATCCAGTTTTGGTTGCCACGATGTAAAAAAGATGTTGAGAATCTAGTCTAGAAAGAGTGCAGAGAAGAGCAACAAATATGATTAGGGGACTGGTGGGATTCAAATAATTTAACAACCAGTTCTCTGCTCTAATGACCAGCTGGGCAGGTGTGGCTCAGTGGTCATGTGACTGTGTGGGCGTGGCCAACTCAACATCATTCACGTTGATGGGTTCTTCGCCTTAGCTGTTACAATGTAATAAGGATTAACCGGAGAGGCAGTTTCTGTAAGCAGGGCAAAAAAAGATTAGGCTACAAACAACACCAGAATGTTTCCTTCCTGCCTTCCTTACAGGATTAGCCCTGTAAAGTGGAAAAACAAAAACAAAATAAGATTTCTTCCAACAACCGGTTCTCCCGAATAGGTGTGAACTGGCTGAATCCCACCACTGGACTGGAGGCTAAAACATATGAAGAACGGTTGCAGGAACTGGGTATGTCTAGTTTAATGAAGAGAAGGAGTAGGGGAGACATGATAGCAGTCTTCCAATATCTCAGGGGCTGCCACAAAGAAGAGGGAGTCAAGCTATTCTCCAAAGCACCTGAGGGCAGGACAAGAAGCAATGGGTGGAAACTCATCAAGGAGAGAAGCAACCAAGAACTAAGGAGAAATTTCCTGACAGTGAGAACAATTTATCAGTGGAACAACTTTCCTCCAGAAGTTGTGAATGCTCCAACACTGGAAGTTTTTAAGAAATTAGACAACCATTTGCCTGAAATGGTAGAAGGTTTCCTATCTGAGCAGGATGTTGGACTAGAAGACCTCCAAGGTCCCATCCAATGCTGTTATTCCATTCCATTCTAATTTATATTGCTAAGTCTTTCTATTGCTGTGCTTAGTTGTTTTTTTTAAAAAAAATCCTCTATAATTTTGTCTTCAAGTCATTGGTTATGTTCAGGAATTCTGACTCATTTCTGGCTAGGGAGGGGCAAACTCTAACCCAAATTGCTGAGACTTTAGTTAACACTAAATTCCATCAATCATGTATTTGGTGGCTGAATTCCTGCATCATGTTAAGCCAATTTTGTTCAACTCTTAAGATGTTTTTTTTAATAAGTGAATCCAGCAGTAAGCGCAACTTGCTCGCCAGGACTGTCTGGGGGCAGTGCCACTCCATCCAAAACCAGACATGGAAGAATTTTTGCTAAAATCAGAATTCTCTCTGAATTAGAAGTGCTAATGCGCTGTTTTAATCTGTGCAGTGGATACTGACAACAAAAGAAAAAAATATATCAGAATAACAAAGTTGGAAGGGGCCTTGGAGGTCTTCTAGTCCAACCCCCTGCTCAAGCAGGAGGCCCTATACCATTCCAGACAAGTGGCTATCTAGTGGCTATCTGAAAGCCTCTGGTGATGGGGCACCCACAACTTTTGAAGACAAGTCTTTCCACTGATTAATTGTTCTCACTGTTCAGAAATTTCTCCTTAGTTCCAGGTTGCTTCTCTCCTTGATTAGTTTCCACCCATTGCTTCTTGTCCTACCTTCAGGTGCTTTGGAGAATAGCTTGACCCATCTTCTCTAAAACAGCCTCAAATATTGGAAGACTGCTATCATGTCTTATAATGCAATCCTAAATTGCATTAACAGAGGGATACAATCAAGATCAAGTGAGGTACTAATACCACTCTATAAAGCCCTAGTAAGACCACATCTAGAGTACTGCATCAAGTTTTGGGTACCACACTATAGAAAAATTGTTGAGACTCTAGAAAGAGTGCAGAAAAGAGCAACCAGGATGATTAGGGGACTGGAGGCTAAAACATACGAAGAACAGTTGCAGGAACTGGGCATGGCTAGTTTAGTGAAGAGAAGGACCAGGGGAGGCATGATAGCAGTCTTCCAATATTTGAGGGGCTGCCACAGAGATGAGGGGGTCAAGCCATTCTCCAAAGCACCTGAAGGCCAGACAAGGAATAACGGATGGAAACTGATCAAGGAGAGATTCAACCTGGAAATGTGGAGGAACTTTCTGACAGTGAGAACAATCAACCCATGGAACAGAAGTTGCCTTCGGAAGTTGTGGGAGCTTCATCACTTGAGACTTTCAAGAAGAGATTGGACTGCCATTTGTCCCTTCCAACTTTGTTAATCTGTAATCTGTCATCCCTAGTCCTTCTCTTCGTTAAACTAGATATACCGAGTTCCTGCAACTATATATTTTATCCTCCAGTCCCCTAATGAGCTTTGTTCTTCTTCTCTGCACTCTTTCTATAGCCTCAACATCTCATTTGTATCATGGTGACCAAAACTGAACACAATACTCCTAGTCTCATCTGACTAAATATAAAGTGGTACTAACACTTCACATGAACTTGATACTATTTTCCTTCAATGCAGAATTATTCATTGTTGGGTTTTATTTGTAGAGTTGAAAGATGTCTTCCATGTTTGGCAAACCTCGAACTGTCCCCTGGGCGAATGAACGCCACCTCCCACACCTTCTGCAGGAGTGCAACGTGGCCATCCTGGGCTGCCAAGGATCTGGGAAATCAGGTTAGGAGACAACTCCATTCCTTCTGCGGCAGCATCGCAGTTCTCATGGGCTATTCTGAAGATGGTTCTTTGTAGCTGTGACTATCCTTATCCACTATTTTGCAATTTTCGACATTTGGAAGGAAATGCAATATGTCTTGAGAAAACCAGGTTGAGGGGGAGTCCAGGAGTCCAGGAGAAGACACTGCTTCATCATCTACTCTTAAGTAGACTTGGTATCTGCTTACCAATTATTTACTTAATCATGGTTTGCTCAATTAACTTGATTGTTTGGGCTGATAAAACACACTGGTAAATGTGTCTGTGGAGATTCTCAGTCATCCTGGTCGTAATTATCTGTAAGGTGCTTTTTCCAAAAGCACTTTTTCTTTTTCCAAAAGGAGGAGAGAGGAGGAGGAGGAGGAGGAGGAGGAGGAGGAGGAGGAGGAGGAGAGAAGAAGAAGGAGAAGAAGGAGGAGGAGGAGGAGAAGAAGAAGAAGAAGGAGGAGGGAGAGGAGGAGGAGGAGGAGGAGGAGGAGGAGGAGAAGGAGAAGGAAAAGAAGAAGAAGAAGAAGGGGAAGGGGAAAGGGGAAGGAGGAGGAGAAGGAGAAGAGAAAGAGGAAGGGGAAGGGGAAGGAGCAGGAAGAGGAGGAGGAGAAGGAGAAGGAAAAGAAGAAGAAGAAGGGGAAGGGGAAAGGGGAAGGGGAAGGGGAAGGAGGAGGAGGAGGAGAAGAAGAAGAAAAAGAAGAAGAAGAAGAAGAAGGGGAAGGGGAAGGGGAAGGGGAAAGAGCAGGAAGAGGAGGAGAAGCAGGAGAAGGAGGGGGAGGGGGAGGAGAAGGAGAAGGAGAAGAAGTAGTTTTGCTTCTCAACCAAGAAGCTTCATCAGTTGCGATGGTTAGGGGATGAAAGGATAAGTACTCTTCTTCTTCCTCAAGGAAAAACATCCCAGTTGCTTTTTGAAAAAGCACCTTTGACACACTGGTTAAGGTTAAAAACCAACATCCTTAATTAAACCCAGAAGGAAACTGGCAACCAGTACAGCTTGCAGAGCAGAGGTGTAATTTCTGCAGTTCTAGGAATTAGAGAATAACAGCGTTGGAAGGGACCTTGGAGGTCTTCTAATCCAACTCCCCTGCTCATAACTGCCCATACAGTCACATTTTTGCACCACCTGAAGCTTCTGGATATTCTTTTAAGGGGCTTTGCCAAGAAAGAATCTCAAATTAGTTGAAGGAGAAACTGATTTAGCAAAAAGTCCTACAATTGGAGATGACCCTTGCAGAAGAAATATGATAACCTTCTCTCTTTCCTTGCAGCGCTAACGGTGAAGTTTCTTACCAAGAGGTTTATAAGCGAATACGACCCTAATCTGGGTAAGTCTGAATGTGTCTCCTTCATGTTTCCAATGTTGCCCTTTTGCAATCTCAACTCGGTCAGGATTCCCTGATGAGTTTTCCATGCCGACTAAACAGCTTTAGACCAGCTTAGCTTCTGATCCCAGATCAAGTCAACCAGAGCCCGCCACCTGTTTGGGAAAACCACTTGCAATCCAGGTTTAATCCAGATAACACACGCTTCAAAGGTTCGTGCATCCCCATGAACAGATACTGGAAGTTGGGATACCAAAGAGAGATTTTTCAGGTCGATTATCGGTCAGCTAGGATAATCCTGCTTTGGGTTGCAAGAAATGGCTCAGATCCCAGAGGCCACCAGCAACCACCCACCTACCTGACACAAAGCAAAACGCAGGGAGGGTGGAAGGAAAAGGGATCTCCCAGCAAGCAGACAAATGGATCCCCTTTTTTGGGTCCCTGGAAAATGTCAGCCCTCTTCAGGAGGGTTTTTTTTTTCTTTTTTTTTTAATTCCAAACATGCTGCAAGGGTATTTTAAGTTCTTCCAAGTTCTGCTTGCAAATATGCTTCATGGCTGTTTCAAAACAAGCTGCCAAATTTAGAGCACATACCAAGGAAAATCGAGATGGAAAACAATGATTGCCTAGGAGGGCAAGCAGAGGCTTCTGGACTTAAACAAAAAAAAAAAAAAAAAACCTTCCAGAAAGTTAATGAGCTGTGATGCAGATCCCTTGTCAACCCACAAATCCCCCTTGAAATGGCAAGGAGCCAAGACCTTAAAAGATTTTTTTTTTTTTGCTGTCCTTCTCTTCAGCCTGGATTTGCTTCCTGGATTTCTCAATCAGAATAGAGCTGGAAGGGACCTTGAAGGTCTTCTAGTCCAGCTCCCTGCTCAAGCAGGAGACTCTATACCCATGATGGCAAACCTATGGAGAGCCATATCTGTGGGCACGCAACAGTTGCCCTAGCTCAGCTGCAGCGTGCCGGCCAGCTGATTTTTGGGTCTTCCACGCCCACTGGAGGGGCCTCCAGAGGGCCTCCGGGGAGGGAAGAGACCGTTTTCACCCTCCCCAGGCTCCAAGAAATCCTCTGGAGCCTGGGGAGGGCGAAAAACAGGCCTACCGGGACCACCGGTAACCTTTTTGACATCACATACCAAAAGCAGGAGGAGTGGGGGGGGTCACGCACGCATGCGTGAGTGGGTGGGGCGCAGGAGAGGCATTGAGTTATAGGTGTGGGCACGCGCACGTGCAACACCCCCCCCCGTGAGACCCCCGCTTTTGGCACGTAATGGCAAACAGGTTAGCCCTCACTGCCCTATACCAAAGGTCTTCAAACTTGACAGCTTTAAGACTTGTGGGCTTCAACTCCCAGAATTCCTGAGCTAAAATGACTGGAGGAGGAATTCTGGGAGTTGAAGTCCACAAGTCTTAAAGCTGTCAAGTTTGAAGACCCCTGCCCTATACCATTTCAGACAGCTAGCTGTCCAGTCTCTTCTTCCAGCCCAACCCCCTGCTGAAGCAGATTTCAGAAGAGGGGCTTTCCAGGCTCTTCTTCAAAACCTCCAGAGACGGAGCAACCACAACTTCTGAAGGCAACTTCTGTTCCGCTGGTTAATTGTCCTCACTGTTAGGAAGTTTCTCCTTACTTCCAGGTTGCTTCTCTTCCTGATTAGTTTCCATCCATTGTTTCTTGTCCTGCCTTCTGGTGCTTTGGAAAATAAGTTGACCCCCTCTTCTTCTTTGTGGCAGCCCCTTAAATACTGGAATACTGCTATCATGTCACCCTTGGTCCTTCTTTTCTCCAGATTAGCCAAACCCAAAATCTTGCAACCGTTCTTCATATGTTTTAGACTCCTTCGTTGTTCTTCTCTGCACATTTTTTTTCCCAAAGTCTCAACATCTTTTTTTGTAATGTGGTGATCAAAGCTGGATGCAGTCTTCCAGCTGTGGTCTTACTCAGGGTTTTTAATGGATGGAAAACCAGAGATTTAAGTGGTAGCATTTTTAGTCTTAGCTAAACGGACACTGGAACCACAATGCTTTGCCTGGAATTCTAAAACTCTGGAAAAATGTTTGTATTGGGTTATACTTCATGGGTTTTATCACTTGCATCTCTCTCTGTTAAACATTCTGAAATGAAGGTTTGATTTAAAGAAGACACTAAGTATGAGATGTCAGAATTTGCTTTTTGGAGGCGGACTGGGTGTGTGAACCAGTGGTGAAATCCAATTTTTTTTATTACCAGTTCTGTGGGCGTGGCTTGGTGGGTGTAGTGTGGCTTGGTGGGCATGGCTTGCTGGGTGTGGCAGGGGAAGGATACTGCAAAATCTACATTCCCTCCCCACTCCAGGGGAAGGATATTGCAAAATCAGGAGCCTGGTGGTGCAGTGGACTAAACTACTGTTAAAGTAGTATTTAGTTGCCAGCTGCCTGCAATTACTGCGAGTTCAAATCTCACCAGGCTCAAGGTTGACTCAGCCTTCCATCCTTTCGAGGTAGGTAAAATGAGGACCGGGATTGTGGGGGCAATAAGCTGACTTTGTATAAAATAGAACACCGCTTGGGGGGGGGCCAAAAGCCCTACTAAGCAGGTATATACAAAAGTATGAAGGCTATTGCTTAAAAAGCATTGTAAGCCGCCCTGAGTCTCCGGAGAAGGGCGGCATATAAATCTAACTAATAAATAATAAATAAATAATAAATAAAATCTCCATTCCCACCCCACTCTGGAGCCAGCCAGAGGTGGTATTTGCCAGTTCTCCAAACTGCTCAAAATTTCTGCTACTGGTTCTCCAGAACCTGTCAGAACCTGCTGGATTTCATCCCTGGTGTGAACTGAGCCAAAGTGTTGTTTTAAAATCCAGTCCCGCTTAATGGGATCTCAGATTTATGGTCCAATTTTATTGGACCATTGTGAAATGGGGACTGGTGGGTTGAGTCGCTCAGAAAGTTTAGAAAAGAATTAGTAGCACCGCCCCCTAGAGTCGGGAACAACTAGCACATATGTGCGAAGGGAACCTTTACCTTTACCTTTTATAACTAACATTATTGGGACTATCTTTGCTTTCTTTTGCCACGGTTGTTTCCATTGTCCTTGTATTTTCTGATTTTCTCCAGTTCCTACCCCCAGCCTAAACAAAGAGAAAATGAGAGACTGGTTGGATTCGCATCACAGATTTCACTTCTTCCCTGAATTTATGTATTTTCTTCTTTAGCAAAATAAACCGAGCCAACCAGCCAAAGTGGATTTGTCCCAAAGGCTAAGCCACAAGCAACCCAACCATGGTTACAATTAATCAAGTTTAGCTGGTTGGGAAAAATTACCTCATTGTCTTTAATATGATCGAGGAGATCCATGATCCATGAAGAGAAGGTGACATAGATCATGGGAATTGTGGCCACCAACCTGATTTATTTTATTTTTTTTACTCCTCTCTGTGTGTATGTGAGTTGTGCAAACCCATCCCTTGAAAGAAAGAGAACTTTGATTGAGTAATCTTGGCAACTTGTCTTGGAACCTTGTTGTTCTTTTAGAACTCCGTGAGGTTCAGTGTCACTATTTTTTTTTCTGTAGGTTATAAGTTTAGCCCCTGGCCTCTCAAAATAGGGTTTAAAAGACCCTGGTCTGAAACCTTAGAACAATAGAATAACAGAGTTGGAAGGAACCTTGGAGGTCTTCTAGTCCAACCCCCTGCTTAGGCAGGAAACCCTACACCATTTCAGACAAATGGTTATCCAACATGTTAAAAAGATGTGGAGACTCTAGAAAGAGTGCAGAGAAGAGCAACAAAGATGAAGAGGGGGCTGGAGGCTAAAACATATGAAGAACGGTTGCAGGAACTGGGTATGTCTAGTTTGATGAAGAGACGGACTAGGGGAGACATGATAGCAGTCTTCCAATATCTCAGGGGCTGCCCCAAAGAAGAATGGATCAATCTATTCTTCAAAGCATTTGAGGATAGAACAAGAAACAATGAGTGGAAACTAATCAAGGAGAGAAGCAACTTAGAACTAAGGAGAAATTTCCTGACAGTGAGAACAATTAATCAGTGGAACAACTTGCCTGCAGAAGTTGTGGATGCTTCAACACTGGAAGTTTTTAAGAAGATGTTGGATAACCATTTATCTGAAGTGGTGTAGGATTTCCTGTCTGGGCAGGGGGTTGGACTAGAAGACCTCCAAGGTCCCTTCCAACTCTGTTATTCTATTCTAAATCTTCTTTAAAACTTCCAGTGTTGGAGCATTCACAACTTCTGCAGGCAAGTTGTTCTTGAGAACCTCCTTCTATTAATGTGAACAACACTAAGTCAGGTGGTTGTGATGTTCAGATGGACCATTTCCTGAGTCCCCCAAAGAGACTGTAGAACAGTAGCAACCATCATACCACCTTGCAGTCTTTCCATCCTCAGACAAACCACAGTTTGAAATCCTGGAGGGCTCCACCAACAAGTTAGACCAAGGTTATGACTTGATCTACAGCCTCTCTTTCCGTTTGTTTTCTGTTTATCGGTGCATCCAGGGAGAGCTATGAGCAAGGAGTCAGACTGAAGCTAGGAACTTCATCAATCAGCGACAAAGAAGCTGGGGTATAATTGTTTTGGAAATTCTTGGCAGGTAGCTCTTTTGAGTCATATCCAGAAGTTGAAGAACGACAGAGGAGGCTTTCAGGGAAGGCACGGAAGAATAAATTCTGGATCTTTTTTTTTTTTTCCCAAGGATGTTTTCCATTCATTTTGCCTACTGAGATTTCTTCTCAAAAGCTGTGGCTTTCATTGAAAAGGCTTCAGTGATCGCAATACAGTAGTGGATAAAATTGTGGAAACCTTTTGGGAAAAGTGTATTTTCTAAAGCTAGCTAATAACACCACTTTTTTGGGAGGGGAGTAGTACCCTAAAATTATATATCAATGGAAAGATAATTTAATTGAGAATGTAATGCAATAAATTTTATGAAGGATTTGCTGTTAGAATAGCAGTTACAGTATAAAGAAAAAAAGTGAAACACGTAGAAAAAATGAGATATACAAAAATTATCACCATAAAAAATCGATATATACAAAAATGATCCCCATGTCAGTTAATACTTAGTTGGGTAACCTTTAGCATGAATTACAGCCTTACAACGTCTTCCCATGGAGTGAACCAAGTCTTTGAGTTCTGCAGCTCTTATAATGTGAAATCAGGATTGAAGGATTGCTTGTATTAACTGGGTTTTATTGCTAGGTTGCTTCTGACTAACAAGTTTCTTTAGTCGGCTCCATAGATTTTTCAATTGGGTGAAGGTCTGGGCTATTCCCAGGCCATTCCAGCAGTGGAATAGGATTATCTTGAACCCCCCCCCAAAAAAGTGATGTTATTAGCCATCAAACCTCAAAAATAAATGTTTCCCAAAAGGTTTCCACAATTTTGGCCACTACTGTAATTACTGCATACAAAATAAACTATGCAGGCAATATCTAAACAAGCGGTATTCAGTGAGAAGTAGCAATCTAATTCCCATGTTCCTTTTTTTCCCCCCCTTTGAACAATCAGTGCAAAAGTGACCGGATGAGGGACAAGCATGTGATAGTCGGTTTAACATTGCCTTTTTATTATTTTAACGTTTAAAAATAGGTTGCAGGATAAGGTCTCTTGCTGTCTGCCTCCTTTGCATAGATATGAGCTGAGTATAATTTCCAAGGAATTTGCTTGAATAGTTGGAGAGATATCTCAAGGGCTTCTGGATTCAACAGAACGTGTATGAAATTTGTTCGTTTCAGTCCAGTGGCAATCTAGCAGAATGGTGCAGTGACCTAGAGGTAGAGCTCTCATCTCACAGTCGGGAGCCTGTGAGTTCGATGTTACCTAGGTAAAGGTAAAAGGTAAAGGTTCCCCTCGCACATATGTGGTAGTCATTCCTGACTCTAGGGGGTGGTGCTCATCTCTGTTACAAAGCCGAAGAGCCAGCGCTGTCCAAAGACGTCTCCGTGGTCATGTGGCCGGCATGACTCAATGCCAAAGGTGCATGGAACACTGTTCCCTTCCCACCAAAAGTGGTCCCTATTTTCCTACTTGCATTTTTTACGTGCTTTCGAACTGCTAGGTTGGCAGAAGCTGGGACAAGTAACGGGAGCTCACCCCTTTACTAGGGATTCGAACTGCTGAACTGCCGACCTTTCGATTGACAAGCTCAGCATCTTAGCCACTGAGCCACCGCGTCCCTCCTAGCTAGCAGAGTGTTTAATGTCCGGATGCCCTTCCTGTCGCCAATGCGGAGCTTTGTTGAGCAGATATATTCTCATTGTGCCCAGAGAGAGAAATACTTACCTAGGTAGAGCAGATATTTCTCTCTCTGGGCACAATGAGAATATATCTGCAGAACAAAGCTCCGCATTGGTGACAGGAAGGGCATCCGGACATTAAAATGCTCCGCTAGCTCCATTTGGTTACCCAGACTCCACCCTGCAAGGGATTATGGGTCATTAAATGATAATGATGATGAGTCCAGTAGCAATCTAAAAGGCCTGTTGCTCTACATGAGGAAGGTGAGACACAATCAGCACCTCCTTTGAGGGTCCCAGCTTAATTTAGGGCAGGGGTCAGCAACCCGCAGCTCTGGAGCCACATGTGGCTCTTTCATCCCTCTGCTGCGGCTCCCTGTCACTCAAAATATGCGTCACAACCGCCAATGTGCGACACCCACCGACACGCAATTGATTGAGCTTTTCAACCCCGGGTAGGCCAACCATGGATAAATCCAAGAAAAGAAAAGTTTCGGAAGAAAACAGAACGTTTAATTCAACTACATATGCTACTTTTGTGGCTGCTCAGGAAATAGTCAGTCATGGGAGGAGTTTTGTGGCTCCCGGTGTTTTCTTTTCTGTGGGAAACGGGTCCAAATGGCTCTTTGAGTGTTTAAGGTTTCAGACCCCTGGTTTAGGGTTACAAAAATACTGGCTTCTCCCCAAACGATCTACCAACTTTCAAAACATTTGCTTTGCAGAAGACACTTACGCTTCGGAAGAGATAGTAGACCAACATCCTGTCTTGCTCAAGGTGATGGATACAGCCGATCAGGTATGTCAATGACAGCTCAACCACCCAGTCCAAAAGTATCTTTAAAGGGTTAAAATCATGGCAAGCGGACCAAAATTTGTGATTCTGAGATGTTTCATTACTCATCCAAGTAACTTCATCAGTCAAATTTATTTTTTAAAAAAGAAGTTACTTGGATGAGAAACAAAACATCTCTGACTCACAAACTTTAGTCCACTTGCCATGATTTTAAGCTGATCAGATAACGGCACTAAGAACAAAATACCGTTGAACAAGTTGCAATGAAATCTCAGCATTTCCAAATACGGTCTTCATACCACAGGTGGAAGGATCAGGTAACATTTTACCAGCTACAAATGAGAAGAGACCCATCAGCAAGAGCCCCTTCTATCAGTAGAGGATCATTTCTAGGCAAATCCAATCAATTCTCCTGATGTTTGATTTTGGTTAGATCCTCACTTCTTTGGGAAAATAAGATTTAATTGCAAGAGCAATAGCACTTAGATTTATAAAGCACTTCACAGTGCTTTATAGCAGTGGTGGGTTTCAAATTTTTTACTACCGGTTCTGTGGGTGTGGCTTGGTGAGCGTGGCATGGCTTGGTAGGCATGGTTTGGTGGGCATGGCAGGGGAAGGATACTGTAAAATCTCCATTCCCACCCCACTCCAGGGGAAGGTTACTGCAAAATCCCCATTTCCTCCCAATCAGCTGGGACCTGGGAGACAGAGAATAGACGGGGGCAGGGCCAGTCAGAATTTTTACTACCGGGCCTCCGAACTACTCAAAATTTCTGCTACTGGTTCTCCAGAACTGATCAGAACCTGCTGAAACCCACCTCTGGTTCACGTAAAATACAGCTACCCTGTTTCCCCCAAAATAAGACATCCCCTGATAATAAGCCCAATCAGGCTTTTGAGTGCATGGCAATAAGGCCAAGTGCTTATTTCAGGGTTCAAAAAAATATAAGACAGGGTCTTTTTTTCAGGGAAACACGATAGTTGTGATTCAGTAATCTGTATCTACCTTACCTCCTTTGCCAATCGCCTGAGTGATTTGCAAACTTGAATGTATATAAGGTTAAAAAATGTGGAGTTTTGTAGAAAGGGACCAGGATCCATGAAGTTTTGCCCCAAAATTGCAAGTAGTGACGGGATCCAAATGGTGTCTTCTTTCTCATTTGACTTTGACAAGGCAAGGAGCAAGACTCACCTTTTTTAAATTTTTTATATTATTTGCTTTTTTTCCCCCTCTCCAGATCAGTTTAAATAGAAATAAGCCCTGCATTCCTCTTTGGAGTTTGGTAGTTTCATGTTGTCTTCTGCCAGAGTCTAGAATATTTCTCAGGATATTTTTAAAAGAACATCACCAGGACAGAGTCAAATAGACGGAGTCGTGTTTCGTTTAACATTGAAAACAAAGTTTCTTTTAATGAAAACTAAAGCAGAGTTGCAGCTTGAAAGGTTAAAGGCCAGAGAAGGCATGTGACTCTCCTCCCCTCTTATTGGAAGATCAAAATACACTGATCTGAGATAAGATCGAAAGTTATGCTTGGCCCGAAGCAACCGGCTTCACTCCTTTCATCAAAACTCACAATGGCTTTTTAATATACTGCCAAAGGCAGCGTCCAACTGTTTTGGATCCAAAGGGGCTTTGAAATAATAGATGCCTGGAGATAGGGCTTCCTTCAGTCTTGTTATATTTCTCTCCCCGGTTCTATTTTACCTTTATTCCTGCCAAGATGGATGTGTTGTTTGCTGTTAGATAAGAGAGATAGAATGGAATGGAATGGAATGGAATGGAATGGAATGGAATGGAATGGAATGGAATGGAATGGAATAGAATAGAATAGAATAGAATAGAATAGAATAGAATAGAATAGAATAGAATAGAATAGAATAGAATAGAATAGAAATGAAGGGAAGGGAAATAGAACAGAACAGAACAGAACAGAACAGAACAGAATAGAATTCTTTATTGGCCAAGTGTGATTGGACACAAGGAATTTGTCTTGGTGCATAGGCTCTCAGTGTACATAAAAGAAAAGATACATTTGTCAAGAATCATAAGGTACAATGCTTAATGATAGTCATAGGGAACAAATAAGCAATCAAATCACATTAGAAACAGTTAATATGTATTGTAAGGATACCAGCAACAAGGTTACAGTCATAAGTGGTGGGTTGTTCTCGGTTCGGTCCGGTTCTATCGAACTGGTAGTAAAACCAGGGTGATATGCGCATGCACAGAAGCTTCTGCGCATGTGCAGAAGCACAAGCGCGCGCACGAGTGAAGCAAGCTCGCACGCACTGTCCCATTGCAAACCGGTAGTAAAGATAAGTAGAACCCACCCCTGGAGGAGATGGGTGAAAGGAATGATGAGAAGATTAATAGTAATGCAGACTTAGTAAATAGTTTGACAGTGTTGACGGTGTTGATTATTTCTTCAGCAGAGAGATGGCGTTCGGGAAAAAAACTGTTCTGATGCTGGGCTTTCTAACCGATTCCCACATGTTTCTCTTTCAGGACATACCAGTGGGCTGTGAGAGGTATCTGAACTGGGCCCATGCCTTTCTGGTAGTCTACAGCATTGAAAACCGAAAGAGCTTTGAAGGATGTCAGCAGTACCTGGATCTCATTGCTCTCCACTTGAAGACCACGTTCCATGAATCTCCAGTTCTCCTGATAGGGAACAAGCTGGATATGGAACAGTACAGGTAAGAAAAGGCTAAGAGCTCAGTCAAAGGAGGGGATGGATTGATTCATATCATTGGGGAAAGGGAGCATCCTGTAGGAGAAGAGCAAGGGATGGAGTTAAGCACATCATCAGCTTAGAATCATTACATTGCCACAAACGGCCCAAGTCCAATCCCTCTTGAATTCCATTGACCCTTAGCTGGCATTAATTTAGTACTAGAGTTGACTAGATTATTGTTAGGTGCAAAGGATCAGGCCCATATGTTAAGTTGCAATTCAGACATTTAATCACTCAAGACTGCATATAAGAATCTAGTCAACTAAAGTTCTGTTCTAAATTGGCACCAGATAATGGTCAACAGTTGAGTTGAGTTGAGTTGAGTTGAGTTGACTTGACTTGACTTGACTTGACTTGACTTTATTGTCATTGCACATGGTACAACGAAATTAAATGCTGTCTTCAGTGTACATTATAACTATAAAAATAAAAACATAAACATACATCCTTTACATATAATTTTATATAATTGAAATTGAAAACCCGATATTGCACTATACTGTAGAATTCTTTGACCAGAGATATCCCCAACCTGGCTCCTTCCAAACTCTATGGGGGACTTCAATTCCCATAATTCTCAGCCAGCATGGAGAGGAAGGGAGAGCGAGAGATGGCTGTAACAAGTACAGCAACTCTTCTTCACTAGAATTAGATTATTTCTTGAGACCAGACTTTACTTTGGTGCGTCAGATGAACTGAAAAATAAAATGGTAGAAATAGGGAATGCAACCCAGGATTTTGCTACCATGTACATTTAATCTCTTTTGGAATCTTCTGTGATGGTTCGTGCTATAGCAGCTCTCTTATTTTCGTATCCTGTTTCATTATTTTAATCTTCTTACCACTAGATTGGAACGTAAGCCTCTCAAAGTCGTGCTGGATTGGAATGTCCTCTAAGCCCCAGTAAATACATACGCACAACAGTGGTGAAATGTAAAATTTGTTACTACTGGTTCTGTGGGCGTGGCCTGGTGGGGGGTAATGTGACTGAGTGGGCGTGGCCAACTTTTTTTTTTAAAAGCATTTTTTCTACAACCTCTTTGGCTGAAGAGGTTGTAAAAAAATGCTTTTAAAAGGCTCTGACAATCAGGCAACTCAGCTGGGATCGCCAGAGGCTTTTAAAAGCATTTTTTCTACAACCTCTTCAGCTGAAGAGGTTGTTAAAAAAATGCTTTTAAAAGCTTCTGACGATCCCAGCTGAGCCGCGCGATCAACAGAAGCTTTTTTTTTTTTTTTTACTTTAAAAAGCATTTTTTCGGCCAAAGAGATTGTAGAAAAAAATGCTTTTAAAAATAAAAATAAAAAGCCTCTGATGATTGCATGGGTCAGTTGAGCATAGGGAGGGGGAGCAGGGATTTTTGCTACCGATTCTCCGAACCACCCACCGCCATCGCTACCGGATCAGGCGATCCGGTCCAAATCGGGAGCATTTCACCCCTGACGCACAGGCTACAAGGCAATCCCGGTGTGTCTTGGGCTCACCAGACCCAAATTGGCTGAGCAAATGCATGGCTAACAGCTGTAGAGGAACATGTCCCTTTAGATGTCCTGTATTGGCTTGGATTGCTTGCTTGGGAAGAGCAAATGTTAGCAATAGCACTTAGATTTATACAGGTAGTCCTTGACTTACAACAGTTCCTTTAGTGACTCTTCAGAGTTATAAGGGCACTGAAAAAAGTGACTTATGACCGTTTTTCATACTTACAACGGTTGCAGCGTCTCTTTGGTCACGTGACTTATATTTGGATGCTTGACAACTGATTCGTATTTATGACGGTTGCAGTGTGTTGTGGCCCACCAGCGGCCAGCAGGGCTGGCAGCAGATTCGGACAGTGAGGAGGTTGGGGAGGAACATGGGCCAGTCCTGGAGTCTGGGGAAACCTCTGATGAGGGCTCTGCATCAGAGGCAGAGAGGGGGCCAGGGCATCCAATAGTTATCAGCTACCTTCGGAGTCGGAGATAAGTGGGGCTGAAGAACAGCTGGAGCCTGTTCCCAATGTGCGCATGTGCAGAGCTGCCAGGAGAAGGGAACAGTTAAGGAACAAGGGCTGACTCAGGAGTTGTTCTGATCTAGGCTTCCTAATATAGTAAAAAAGCACACAATTAGACCCAACCCCCCCCCCTTTTTATTTTATTAACTGCTGTGAATTCCTTTCATTCACAGCACGTGCTGAATCACCAAGAGTTTATAAATAACCCAACAGAAGTCTGCCACAGTCCTTCGGAGAAGGCTGCTAAACACCCACCTTTATCTTCTTTGACACGCTGCCAAAGACCTAATTGGCAATTATCTTGGCAAGGTCACATGGAAACACATAGTCAAAAACGGAGCTTCAAAGTACAAACCAACATCATCCACAATGTTGCTTTCCTGCAAAGGCTCACGTGCCTTTGCTCCTCCTTTATGTCTTATGGGAGGGACCAATCATCTCCAAGCCTTACTCCCAAGTCGTCCCTTTTGTTTTAACTGTTCTTGCCTTCTGGCAGCTCTGCGCACAAGCCTTCTGGCAGCTCTGGGAACAAGCTCCCCCTATTCCTCTGCCTCTCTGATGTCTGACTCTGGAGGCTCCGGAGTCCGCACACAACTCCCAGATGGCTCTGGCCCCGTCTCTGCCTCCGACGCAGAGCCCTCATCCGAGCCTTCCCCAGACTCCAGGACTGGCCCATGTTCCTCCCCAGCCTCCTCACTGTCCGACTCTGCTGCCAGCTCTGCAGGCTGCTGGCGGACCACAGCAGGAATAAAGGCACAGGTGGATGGTGAATGGCCTCTCCCATAGGGAATAAAGAGGAGCGAAAGAGGAGTGGAGTTTGCAGGAGACAATTAGTTCATTTCATTAGTGTGAAGATCTGTTCGTGACTCTCAGACACTCCTTGCCAAGTCTTTTCTTGTACAGCATTCCGGTTGGAAGATATCGGCCTGGCAGCTCTCCAAGCCTGATAAGGTCCGTGGTTGTAAATTCACCCATAAAGACTTTTTGCCGGGACTTTGCTGGATGTGAATGAGAGGAATTCACATTAGCTTAATAAAAAGGGGTTTTGTCGGGACAAGGAGTCTGCTGCGTGCTTTTGCGAAGCCTAGGTCAGAACACAGTGTCCCGGGATCACTTGATCCCTTTTGCGACCTTCTGACAAGCAAAGTCCACGGAGAAGCCCAATTCACTTAACAGCCATATTACTAAGATAACATTTTGAAGTGGGATCGTGCTCTTTCCTTTCACATCAGTCATAGAAACTCAAGGATTTTGCATAGGTAGGTGAACCCCAAAACACAGTCTTCTTATCAACTAAAGAAAGAATAAGCCAGGCATTGCTAAACTATAACTTCATTTTCTAGTGCTTTGCATCTGGCAACTAATACAGGGGTGGGCTGCTGGGGGTTCACAGGGGTTCGGGAGAACCTCTAGCTAAGATTCTGTGCAGTTCGGAGAACCCCCAAATCCCACTCCTGGCTGGCTCCACCCCACCTGCCCCACCCTGCCCCTCCCAACATGGCCTGTTTTGGATGCAGATAAGTGCAGGGCATGCGCGGAGGCTCGGGGAGGGCGAAAAACGGGTCTACCAGAAATTCAGGAAGGCTGGAAACGGGCCTGCTTCCAGCCTCCAGAGGGCCTCCGGAGCCTGGGGAGGCCGTTTTCACCCTCCTGGAGGCTCGAGGAAAGCCTCCGGAGCCCAGGGAGGGCAAAAAGCCCTCCCCCATCATGGTGCAGGAGGCCAACTAGGCCACGCCCACCATGGCCACACCCACCCAGCAACTGGGCAGAGAACCCCTTGCTAAAATTTTTGAAACCCACCCCTGAACTAATAATAGACATGGCCTATCAGTTCTTTGTGTTGCCTCTTTTCATATGGGATATTCTCTCCTGGTTTCTTCTCCCAGACAGGTCACCAAAGCCGAAGGGATGTCTCTTGCCACCAAGTACGGTTCCTCCTTCCATGAAGTCTCAGCATGCCTGGAGTTCGAGTCTGTGCAGCACATTTTCCACGAGGCAGTACGGGAAGTGAGGAGAGAGTCGGACAGACCTCTGGCAGTCCGGCCCTTGTTCATCATTGAAGAGAAGCCCTCGGCTCACTTGGTCCCAACCGCCACCATTGCCTCCACCTACAATTCCCTCTCCACTGTCAACTACAAAGAGGTCCCTTCAGTTGCCCGGGCCAAGCTGGTCACGGTCAAATCCTCAAGAGCTCAAAGCAAGAGGAAGGCTCCAGCGTTGACTTTGCTGAAGGGGTTTAAGATATTCTAAGCAAGGATTCTGCACGGCAGTTCCAAGGTAGAACAAGGAACGCAGCTGTGGCTGGGATGGGTTCTTGAATCCCCATGCAAGGATGGGGCCATCTTGAATAGCCATCTCCTGGCCTTTCCTGCAGCCCTAGTGGCCCGGCTAAGAATGCAGCAAAGCATTTTGGAAAAAGACCATGAATTGACGGTGGACAAACTACGGATGAAACCACCAGGTGGGGAAGGTGGTTCTAAAACCCTTTTTCTTGGTCATAAACATGTGGAGGACTCTGCCATGTGTTGCTTGAGCAATCGATGGAAGAATCCCATGGAAAGAGTTTGCTCTTGAGGTCTTTTCTTGGGACTGAATAGAGTATTTGGGAAGCCAGAGGAGCTACAACCAGCCAAAGAAGGATTCTACCATGAAAGAGAAGACATCATAGAATATCAGAATTGGAAGGGTCCTTTGAGGACTTCTAGTCCAGCCCCCTGCTCAAGCAGAAGACCCTATACCATCCCAGACAGGTGGTTGTCTCTTCTTAAAAGCCCCCAGTGATGGAGCACCCACAACTTCTGGAGACAAGCTGTTCCACTGATTAACTTTTCTAATTGTCAGGAAATTTCTCCTTAGTTCTAGGTTGCTTCTCTCTTCGATTAGCTTCCATCTGTTGTTTCTTGCCTTGCCTTTGAGTGCTTTGGAATTCTGGACGTTTGAAAATTTGGACATTCATACCCACTCCATGTTTTCCATGTCCCTAAGTGGTTAAGATCAACCACACTCCGCGTCACGATTTCACCAAGGGTCTTTTCTTAATTCCTACTTTAAGTTCTCTTCCATCAATAACAGGAAGATGGTTGGAAAAACAAAAACCGTAGAATTGTTCAACCAGAGGAAGAAATAATAATATACGACCCTTCTCTTTTCCCCCTCTATGTTTGGAGGAGCACTTTGTAGAAAGAAAATAAAGGGGAAAGCACAACATGGACAAATTCACACAGAAGCACAAGCAAAGGGAATATGACTGCGAGCACCAATAATGGGTTTTATGATGATCCCCCTTGGATTGACAAAACGTAGATTGTGTAGATGCACATCGCCCTCTAGCGTTCCTGGACAGATAATGAAACATTTAAAGTCCTTTGTGCTAATTTTTCCTAATCAATTCGAATTGATTAGTCAGATAAATCAGATTAACAGAATTGGAAATGACCTTGTAGGCCATTCAGTCCAACCCCCCACCCACCCACCCAAGCAGGAAACCCTACACCATTTCTGACAAATGGCAATCCAATCCAGTCTCTTCTTGAAAGCTTCCAGTCATGAAGCTCCCACAACTTCCGAAGGCAACTTCTGTTCCATGGGTTGATTGTTCTCAACTGTTAGAAAATTTCTCCTTGTTTCTAGGTTGAATCTCTCCTTGATCAGTTTCCATCCATTATTCCTTGTCTGGCCTTCAGGTGCTTTGCAAAATAGCTTGTCCCCCTCCTCTCTGTGGCAGCCCCTCAAATATTGGAAGACTGCTATTACATCTCCCCTGGTCCTTCTCTTCACTAGACTAGCCATGCCCAGTTCCTGCAACCGTTCATCGTATGTTTTAGCCTCCAGTCCCCTCATCATCCTGGTTGCTCTTCTCTGCACTCTTTCTAGAGTCTCAACATCTTGTTTATAGTGTGGTGACCAAAACTGGATGCAGTACTCTAGATGTGGTCTTACTAAGGCTTTATAGAGTGGTATTAGTATTTCACTTGATCTTGATGATATCCCTCTGTTAATGCAATTTAGGATTGCTTTGGCTTTTTTGGATGCCACCACATACTGCTGGCCCATATTTAACTGGTTGTCCACTAAGACTCCAAGATCCCTCTCACAGTTACTGCAATTAAGCCTGGTTTCACCCAGTCTATAGAGTCCTAATCATTTCTCTAATCAATGCGAAAAAACTGCCTGCATTGAATCATGATCCATGGTTAGGCATTGGGTTCACTATTGTAGCATCCATGATTTGCACAAATCCTGTCTTGGGCACAGCAGGCTCAGTCCCTCCTGCCAATCTAAAATGTCTCCTCCGAACCCCAAACCTGCCTGCCGCACCCCAACTGCCAAGCCTCCTTACTTTTGTGGTAAATGTCAACTAGACCCCAGCTAATTAAACAAAGGCTAGCTAAACCGATGGCTCATGGACAGATTCCATCAGAGTCAGAAAGATAAAAGGACACCTTATTAAAACATGCAAGGAAGGGAGAAGCAAGACAGCTGCCACAAATTGGGAGGATCACAGGTGTGGCATGGCAATAAAGCCCACCTCTTCTGGTGGTGGTCGGGGTGATGCAGAGGAACCCTGGCACGATCAAGGGCTGTGTGTGGCATCCTTCAGATTTTGAAATACTGTATCCCTAGCAATAGCAATAGCACTTAGATTTAAAGACTGCTTCACGGTGCTTTTACAGCCCTCTCTAAGCAGTTTACAGAGTCAGCCTCTTGCCCCCGACCATCTGGGTCCTCATTTTACCCACCTCGGAAGGACGGAAGGCTGAGTCAACCTTGAGCCCAGTGGGATTTGAACTGCCAAATTTCAGGCAGTCAGCAGAAGGAGCCTGCAGTACTGCATTCTAACCACTGCACCAACGCAGCTACAGACACATTACTTACCGTATTTTTCGGAGTATAAAACGCACCTACCTTTTTTGTTGAGGAAAAGGAGAAAAAGAAATCTCCCTCTGCCTCTGCCTAATTTTGCCTCATTGCAGCAAACAGCCTACTTTACTTTCATTTTCGTTTTTAGCATAGCTTGATTAGCACAAGGGAAAAAAAATCTGCTCCAGCAATTTACCTCCTTGCAGCAAGCAGCAGAGCCCTGCGCAAAACAGCTGAGAGCAAATCAGCTGAGAGTGGGGTGGCCGATCCAATCAACTTGTGCTAATTAGGCTGTGCTGAAGCTGAAAGGAGCTGTTTTTTCTTGCTGTTTGCTTGCAAGGAGGTAACTGCTGCGAGGCAGAGGCCAAAGGGTGGGGGCCAGTGGGTGGGCGGGACTCTATTCGGTGTATAAGATGCACCTAATTTTTCACGTCCTTTTAGGGGGGGAAAAGGTGCGTCTTACATTCCAAAAAATACAGTATTTTCCACTGAATGTATTGGTGGGTATTGCAGAAAAGACAAAGGCATGGTTTTCGTTGGAAAGAATGGCATTCGACCACCTACAGATAGATCTAGAGATCTAGGGGTCTTGAAAAAGCCTTTTTAATGGACTTTGGCTTGGACTGGTGGTAAAAATATTCCTTTGGTTTCCTTGGAAGTCGCCGCGATGCTCACATAACTGCTTGAGTTCTCCTTAGTGGACCAGAGAAAAAACAAACCCTAAAACTTGTTTGATCTGATCTACTTCAGCCCTAAAATTAGGAGTAGGGGAGTTTCTATGGAGATTGTCAGTCATCCAGATCATGGTTGTCCCAAAGGTGTTTTTTTCAAGAGGCAAATGGGCTTTCTTTGTTTTTCCTTGAAGACATTTTGCTTCTCATCCAAGAAGCTTCTCCAGCTCTGAAGAAGCTTCTTGGATGAGAAGCAAAATACCTTCAAAGAAAAACCAGAACGTCCAGCTGCCTCTTGAAAAAAACACCTTTAGGAACAGGGGAGATTACAATCAACCAATATAAATTTAGTCATGGGGCAGATACGATCTCAGAAAACATGAGACATCCCTCTTCTTTTCTTTTCTTTCCTTTCCTTTTGTTGTTTTACACATATGAAACAGCCTATAGCAGCCAGGTTAATTGTTCCAAAAAGAATTCGGAGGGTTGACGTTGAGACATCTGGAGAATATCTGGATTATTGCTTAGCGCATTGTAAACCGCCCTGAGTCTCCGGAGAAGGGCGGCATATAAATCAAATTTAAAAAAAAATTAGGCTGAAGTGCATCACAGAAAAGACAAAGGAATCTCTCTGGTTTTCATCGGAAAGATTGGCATTGTATTACATAAAGATAGATGTAGAGAAGTAGCAGCCTTTAAAAGCCTTTTAATGGACTTTGGCTTGAACTGATGGTGAAAATATTAACTTGGTTTCCTTGGAAGTCCCAGTGCTGCTCAAATATCATCCAAAGTTCTCATCATAGCCTAGCCTCCCCCCCTCCTCCTCCCCATCCCTTTTCCTTGTTTCAAATTTTGGAGGCTTCCAACTGTCTCAAATTATTATCTTCTATAAGGCAGCTAATATTGGCATAACAGAACCACCAAGGGCGTCCACAGAAAAGGTCCAAATCAGTGGTGAAATTCAATTTTTTTTTACTACCAGTTCTGTGGGTGTGGCTTGGTGGATGTGGCAGGGGAAGGATACTGCAAAATCCTCATTCCCTTCCCACTCCTGGAGGAAGGATATTGCAAAATCTCCATTCCCACCCCATTGCTGGGGGAAGGATATTGCAAAATCCCCATTCCCTCCCCACTCCTGGGGGAAGGATATTGCAAAATCCCCATTCCCTCCCCACTCCTGGGGGAAGGATATTGCAAAATCTCCATTCCCACCCCACTTTGGGGGAAGGATATTGCAAAATCTTCATTCCTACTCCACTCTGGGGCCAGTCAGAGATGGTATTTGCCAGTTCTCCGAACTACTCAAAATTTCTGCTACCGGTTCTCCAGAATCTGTCAGAACCTGCTGGATTTCACCCCTGGTCCAAATACATCCAGATGATCAATTGATCAAATCCCACCCTTTTTTTAACATGCAATCACAAATGATCCAGGGCAAAATCAAAATCAGGAGACCTTGAACATCTTTCCAGATAATCTGACAGATTTTTTTTTTTGTAGGTCAACGCAACATAGCAAGGCAACAACCTTCACACAATATCCTTAATTGGTTCTTGAATTAGCCCTTTTTCTGGTTCACCCACTACTCAACTCATCGAGGTAGGTTGGCATCGGGGGTCTCCCCACGGATGGTCAAGCCAAGATGGCAACCCCAACTGTGTGACTGAAGTTCTGGCTGTTTTGAGGGGCCTGTCACAGCTTTGTGTGACCCCCGTGAATGCTCCAGTGACACTACACTAGGACACAAAACAAAACCGATCAAAGTTAACGCTAACAGGAACCAACTGACCAGGCTTAGCATGTTGTGTGAAGGAAGCCACTAGGCCAACCTAGTTCAACATATCACAGATGAATTGGTAGATGAATTGGTGGATGAATTGATGAATTGTTGAATTGATGAATTGTTGAATTGACGAATTGACGAATTGATGAATTGATCTTGTACAACTCAAAGGCAGTCAGTATGTGTTTGCTTTTTGCTGGCTTTTCGATTCCGCTTATTGAATTTGGCTTTGAGACCTGCAGTCCAAAAATAGTCAATAGTCCAGAAATCCTCCCAGGTTTCAAAAAAGCCAAAATATGGATATTAGGTGCTATGCTTCTGCTTCGTTGGCATCAGCATAGAGGGGTGAGGTTTTCCCATCTTTCCAGCGTACCATCACGTCTCCCGTGACTGGTGTTTTGGGAAGCAAATTGTCTCCAGCTTGATCCGGATTCTCTTTGTTTAGCAACACAAATGCTTGCTTCGCTTCTGCCTCATCCAGCGGGGTGACTTCGTAGCCTTCTTTGCGTAGGAGAAGGACCTTCTGGTTTCTGTGGAGTGGAGAAAAAAATAATGTTTTTTTCGACCAACTATTTCCAAGTGTTGCCCTCCAGATATGATAGCAGGCAGTTAGAGGAACCTAAAAGTCGCTCAAAATAAGTGTGCAAAGACATGAACCCTGCTTGGAGAAAACAAGATGGAATTAACCAGGGCTCACCTAAGCCTAATCATACCACAAATGTAATATTGTCTTGCTCTTTGTGTCCATGGAGATTCTCAGTTCTCCAGGTCACAGTTGTCCCAAAAGTGCTTTTTCAAAAGGCACCTGAACTTTGTTTTGTTTTGTTTTGTTTTCCCTTGAAGACATTTCGCTTCTCATCCAAGAAGCTTCAGAGCTGAAGAAGCTTCTTGGATGAGAAACGAAACATCTTCAAAGTAAAAGTAAAAAACAACGTCCAGTTGCCTATTGAAAAAAAACATTTTTGGGGCATGCCCTTTATGTATGTTGTGTGCCTTGGAGTTAGTTTTTGATTCCTGGCAACTGCCTGGGCTAATCCCTGCAATATTTCAGAAATGGCTTGCCATTGCTTCCTTCCTAGGGCTGAGAGAAAGTGACTGGCCCAAGGTCACCCAGCTGGCTTTGTGTCCAAGGCAGGACTAGAACTCCCATTGAATTTCATTTTGTTAGATAGCGCCCAATGTTCAAGTCTGTCAAGATCCTTCTGTATCTTGAGCCTATCTTCTGGAGTGTTGGCTATTCCTGCCAGCTTGGTGTCATCTGCAAATCTGATGAGTTCCCCATCGATCTTGGATAGATAGGACTTGGAACTTTATTTGCACAATGGACAAATTTTGCTAAATTTAACCGTGGTGGGTTTTGAGCCTTTGTTTGTTCCACCATTCTAATGGCTTTGAATAGTTTAATACACTGAGCAAACTCAGAATTGGATTCGTTTGGCCACTAAGGAGTCCTGTATTTAGAGGTAGAGAGACACACTGGGTGCCAAACCAAGGCCTGATATTACCACTCCGAAATATGACTTCTTCATACCTGTTGGCCCTAATATTTGCTCCCAAGAGCACAACACCAATCAGCAGAACGAGAATTGAAAGGCCCAGGATAGAATAATTCCATGCAGATGCTGAAAGAGAAAATAAGAAGGAATTGGTGTTGATGGGTTAAATGTCCTTGCTTATTGTCCAGGTGCTCAAGGGGACTTATATAATCTTCTCATCTCCAGTTTTGTCCCACCTTTTTAGAGCATCTGTGGAAGGCAAGGTAAAGGTAAGGGTTCCCCTGAACATGTGTGCTAGTTGCTCCTGACTCTAGGGGGCAGTGCTCATCTCTGTTTCAAAGCCGAAGAACCAGCGCTGTCCGAAGACGTCTCCGTGGTCATGTGGCTGGCATGACTCAACGCCAAAGGCACACAGAACGCTGTTAGCTTCCCACTAAAGGTGGTCCCTATTTTTCTACTTGCATTTTTTACGTGCTTTCGAACTGTTGGGCTGGCAGAAGCTGGGACAAGTAATGGGAGCTCACCCCGTTACACAGCACTAGGGATTCGAACCGCTGAACTGCCGACCTTTTGATCAACAAGCTCACCATCTTAGCCACTGAGCCATTGAGTCCCTGTGGAATCAAGGAATGAATCACAAAAGTCAAGATGGCAGCTGCAATGACAACCTTCTGGGGTGAACCTTCAATTACACATCTGCAGCTACCGTGTTGACTATTTGACTTGCTCCTTATAAAGGAACACATAGTTAAAGTCGGTAAAGGAATAACAGAGTAACATAGTTGGAAGGGACCTTGGAGGTCTTCAAGTCCAGCCCCCTGTCATCCTATACCATTCCTGACAAATGGCTGTCTAATCTCTTCTTAAAAACCTCCAGTGATGGAGCACTCACAGCTTCTGGAGACAAATCATTCCACTGGTTACTTGTTCTTTATTCACTGGTTAATTGTTAGCAGATAAGAGACACCCAATGACATTTCAGTCCTGGGAAAGGAGGGAGTGCGTGAAGAAGATTCAAAAGAACAGCACCCTGATTCCACTTAGTGTAAGAGGGGGCAGAGGGAAACTCTATTAGGCTTTCAAGGTTGTGTTATTATACCCTACAACAATAACATAGAATTCTTGTATTCCTTCTGCTGGCTCTTTCCTGACTTGTCCTGATGAAGGCATGGATTTCTCCTTGGTAGTTCCTTGATTAAGGAAGTAGCAATAGCAATAGCACTTAGACTTATATTTATTTTATTTTATAAAATTTGTATGCCGCCCTATCTCCAAGGACTCAGGGCGGCTCACAACGACAATCGACCAAGCGAAGATATCAGCCTGACAGCTCTCCAAGTCTGATAAAGGTCTGTAGTTGTGAAATCTCTTGAAAGACTGTTGGCCAGGACTTTGCTGGAGAGGAATTTCCCTTTAAACTAAATAAAAGGGGTTTTATCGGGACGAGGATTCGGCTTCGTGCTTTTGGGAAGCCTAGGTCAGAACAAGCTCAGAGGGCACCAAGGACTCCACATTTCAACCCTGAGCTACAGAGATTCTTTTCTAGGAAAGTTCCTTCATTTTCATGCCTTTTTAAAGGCATGAAGGCATAAAGGAGACTTATGGGAGACACCATGCCCCCCGTAAGTCTCCCACTCCAGTTCCAAAGCCTGAAGTAAGAGGACTCGGCCTAATCCAAGCAAATTCTGAGGTTAAAGCCTTGGTAGAACTTACGGTCTTCTCTTCGGAAAAGCCACAGCATCTCCTGCAGCATCTCTGGAGAGATGGTGTCTTCGGAAGGTTTGTCAAGGCCTTCTGAGTCCTTCTGGGGCAGGGAGCTCATGATAGCCAGGACGCCCAGGTCCGTGTTCAACGCTAGGTTAGAAATCAGGAGACAGTGAGTATTGATGGCACTACTATGAACACACATAACATGCCAGCCTAGGCTAAAACATGACAGGGTAGGACGGGGAAATCCAGCTGTTACCTTTGCAGATTGTTCCAAACAGGCTAATCTCTTTAAGACATCACTGCTTTTATTTAATTGAATATTGCCAGTGGTGGGATTCAAAATTTTTTACTAGTGGTTCTGTGAACGTGGCTTGATGGGCGTGGCATGGCTTGATGGGCGTGGCAGGGGAAAGTTACTGCAAAATCCCCATTCCCTCCCCACTCTAGGGGAAGGATATTGCAAAATGTCCATTCCCTCCCCAGGGGAAGATTGACTGCAAAATCCCCATTTCCTCCCGATCAGCTGGGATTTGGGAGGCAGAGAATAGATGGGGGCGGGGTCAATCAGAGGTGGTATTTACTGGTTCTCCGAACTACTCAAAATTTCCACTACCGGTTCTCCAGAACTGGTCAGAACCTGCTGAATACTGCTTCTGAATGAGGCTACTGAAACCTGGCAGGCTAAAGTAAGAGTGATCTGCTTTTGAGCTCTGAATTATCATCTTAATAAAACTTTTGTCAGTATATTCATGAACTGGAATAGGACATAGCAACAGGTCAGCCAGTGAGGGCTGTTTGGTAACTGAAACATAATATTTGTTGTATGGGGCCATAAGAGACAGTTTGGAGCCTGGGCGTGGCTTAACTGTCCTGTATAAGCTTGAGGGCACTAGTTTCTCTCTTCTCCATTTTGCCTTCTCCGTTTTGTACTTCCATATTGTGCTGTGTTTGTACTTGCTATTTCTCTTCTCTACAACGTGGGAAAACCTACAAGGGTGTATTGTATGCCTTATGTGTTGTTATGTATATATTCTTTATGTATATAAAGAAGTTTTGAATCTTGCTTTATAGTCTGCTTATGCGTGCTGCAACAAACTCTGACAAACTCTCTCCTTTGATAAGGAGCCTTGTGAATCTATCTAGGATTTATGAATTTGCACATTTTCATCTTTTTTTCTCCCTGTGGGTCTTAGAAAGCATGGATTCCATAAAGGCTGTATGATTCTCTTAATTGAGATTTGGGTGGGGATCCATTTGCTCTTGGAAAGTATTCCTACTTAATCATCCCATGAAATGTGCATTCCAGACTAAACGATAAAGCCATTTACTAGAAGACGAGAGGGCGAGCTGACCTTCTTTTCAAAGAAAAGCGGAAAACATGAGTTTAGAAGAGAAAAGACAGAAAAGAAAACTTGGCAGAGAAATGTGCATTTAGACCAATTGTAGTTAATATTAGAACCAATTTTGTCTTTGACTCCTTGACCACTGAGAGAATGACAACAACAACAACAAAAATGAATTCTGGACTTCTGCCTTTACATAACGCATTTCACTCATTTCCTAAACTAATCCATTCACTGGATTTGCAAATAGAGTAAATCGTTAAGTTGGCTGGGTTGGTACAACAGAATAAGACCCCAAGAAGCTAAGCAAGATGTCTTCAAACCAGAGGTCTTCAAACTTGGCAATGTTAAGACTTGTGGACTTCAACACTGTCAAACTATTTACTAAGTCTGCACTACTATTAATCTTCTCATCGTTCCCATCACCCATCTCCTCCCACTTATGACTGTATGACTGTAACCTCGTTGCTGGTATCCTTACGATTTATATTGATATTGTTTCCTGATTGCTTATTTGTAACCTATGACTATCATTAAGTGTTGTACCTTATGATTCTTGATGAATGTATCTTTTCTTTTATGTCCACTGAGAGCGTATGCACCAAAGACAAATTCCTTGTGTGTCCAATCACACTTGGCCAATAAAGAATTCTATTCTATTCTATTCTATTCTATTCTATTCTATTCTATTCTATTCCGGGGGAAGGATATTGCAAAATCTCCATTCCCACCCCGCTCTGGGACCAGCCAGAGGTGGTATTTGCTGGTTCTCCGAACTACTCAAAATTTCCGCTACCGGTTCTCCAGAACCTGTCAGAACCTGCTGGATTTCACCCCTGCAAGATACGGTTACTGTAGCCTATCTCAGTAGGCAGGGGGCTGGTTTCCTGATCTGGTCTACTTCGTAGGGCTGACACTAATTCAAAACAGTGAACTCACCATATACCAGGAAGCATAAAGTTGTCCAAAATATCCCCATGATGGTTGGAAACACCCTTCAAAGGGGAAACTCTTCTTTCAAAGGATCCTTCGGTGGAAGCTAGGAAACAAGAAACCAAGATATTTAGTCCTGAGATCGGTCTGCCTTGCGCCATAGGTTAGTGGTTCTTGACTTAATTATTCCTTTTCCAGGTATCAAATAATGCAATCATCCCAACAACAACAGCAACAACAAATGAAACACACACAGACACAGGCACACAGGTTTTAGGCAAGCATCTCAGCAGTGGGTAATCCAAATTGGATGCTCAAAATAAGGAATTAAAATTGGTCCATTGCCTCCACGATATACCGGAAGCAGAAGGAGAAGGAGATGGAGGAGGAGGAGGAGAAGGAGAGGTGGAGGAGGAGGAGGAGGAGGAGAGGAGGAGGAGAAGAGGTGGTGGAGGAGAAGGAGAGGAGGAGGAGGAGGAGGAGAGGAGGAGGAGGAGAGGAGGAGGAGGAGGAGAGGAGGAGGAGAAGAGGTGGTGGAGGAGGAGAAGAGGTGGTGGAGAAGAGGGGAGGAGGAGAGGTGGAGGAGGAGAAGAGGTGGTGGAGGAGGAGAAGAGGAGGAGGAGAGGAGGAGGAGGAGAAGAGGGGGAGGAGGAAAGGAGGAGAAGAGGTGGTGGAGGAGGAAGAGAAGAGGTGGTGGAGGAGAGGAGGAGGTAGAGAAAGAGGAGGAGGATCCAAGAGAGGCAGTAAATACAGATTCCCTTGTAAAAATTACAATTTTAATAGCATGAATTTTTAAATTTTTAAATCATATGAAATACCCAATAAAATAAAGCGATATGAAAGAGACCAGTAGCCTTCCTCTGAGGAGTCAAACAGATCAGTCTGGGGCAAACAGCATTGTACTGACACAACACAACCCCACCCACCCTTTCTACCCATGTATTACACAATGTCATAAGCAATCCTCTTAATTATTCTCTTATTTGGGGGATGGAGCTCCATTTGTTTTTGCAGTCCAATGCTGCATTCGTTGTGTTGTTGTTGTTGCTGTTGTGTTGAAAGCCTGCAGGCCGCCATGCCGGAGTCAAATTTAAACTTAGAGCTAACTGTTGAAATAGGCTGCAATTAAAGCTACTTTTTATTTACTTTTCCTTTTTTTTTAACAGTGTTATAAATCTTGCTAGATTGTATTGGTTCAATACAGTGATGTTTATACAATATGATTAGCGATGATCCACATTCCGTTAGATAGCTTAAAGCATTGAAAAAAGAAAGAAAAGGAAAAAATATCAATATTATGTAGGAAGTTAGCACCCACCCCTTTCCTAGAAGAATGAAATATTTTAGGAAATATTAAAAAGGCAGAATATTATGTTTCCCTGGATGAGAAATGGAGAAGCATGTTTTAAAGATGAAGCAGCTCCCCCCCCACCTTTGTCAATGGACCATCATCTGCAACACAATAGGACCCATCTAGCAACAGAAACTCACCACATGGCACCTGGGAAGATTACATCAGCCAGGAAGGCTAGCTAAGACCCCTGCCCCCTGGGAGTCTGACAACCAATCAGGATATTCTTTCTGGGCCCCAGGAAGTTCAAAGCCAGAGAGGAGATAAAACCAGGGGACTCACAGCATCTCGGCCCCTTTTTCTGTTCAGGAACTTAAACCATGTGATCCTGTCCACCATTAAACCATCTTTCCAAGCAGTCTCCATGTTTCCAGTGTCTTTTTTCCCCACTTAGAACTGAACCTAGAAGGATAATTCTTCTAACAATTCATTGTAATTTAGGATGTCCATATTGCAGGCATAAATAATCCAGCAATCTTTGAAGTGATTCGTGGCATGATCATTTAATAGAAAACATAGTTTCTCCTTTTCAGGCAGACATTAAACACTCTATCTATTACAGAAAGGACGGTGCCAAAATCCACCAGCAAAAGTTTCATCTGGGCTGAAGGAGTGGGACATCCAGAGAAGTGTCAAAAAAAATAATAATCAAAAACGGTGGTGATGGAAGTGCTATCAAAGCCCTGCACCTTTTACAGCGCGTGTCACATGTAAAAATTAGGTGGGGTTTCAATCATACAGCCAGAGCTTCCATCTTAACTTTGTCAACCCCACATGGACGGTCATGGCTGTGTAAATTCAATCCTCATTGTTAGTGGCTTATCATGGCATGTGGGCAGATTCAATAAACAGGAGCTCACTTGACCTTTTCCTTGGGGTGCCAGGCACAGGATGGGAGCAGGATTGGGGGGAAAAAACAGGATTGGCCAATCCCTGGCAGTTCACCCCTTATTGGCTGACAAATCTGTGCCCTCAGAATAACAAAGGGACCTTGGAGGTCTTCTAGTCCAACTGCTGAAGCAGGAGACCCTACCCCATTTCATACATGTGACTACCCAGTCTATTCTTAAAAACCTCCAGTGATGGACCACCGACAACTTCTGAAGGCAAGCTGTTCCACGGGTTAATTGTTCTCACTGTTAGGAAATTTCTCCTTAGTTCAAGGTTGTTTCTCTCCTTGATATGTTTCCACCCATTGTTTCTTGTCTTGCCTTTGGAGAATAGGTGGAGACCCTCTTCTTTGTGGCAGCCCCTCAAATATTGGAACACTGCTGTCATGTCACCTCATCCTTCTTTTCATAAGACTAGACATACCCAGTTCCTGCAACCGTTCTTCATATGTTTTAGCCTCCAGTCCCCTAAGCATCTTTGTTGCTCTTCTCTGCACTCTTTCTAGAGTCTCAATATCTTTTTTACACCGTGGCGACCAAAACTGGATGCAACAGTCCAAGTGTGGTCTTACCAAGGCATTATAAAGTGGTATTAACACTTCACTCAGCTACCGCTCACCCTGATTGGCAGGCAGTTTCCTACATGGCCTGAGCACACAGCATTCTGGAAAAGTCTGAAATGGTTAGACTCTTAATTGGGCTTTAAATTAGAACTAGAAGATTTTGGAGAGAAAAGGTCTGAGGAGGTGGGTGAACCTGAACATGAGGTTTTAAAAAAAATCCCTTACACATGCAGAGTCAACACGGACAGAAGCTTGCAGTGGAATATTTAACCAGTGAAAATTCTTAGGACTGTCTTTATGCTCTGTGTGCAAAAAAAGTGGCAAGCTCTAAGTCCTATAGATCTTTGTAAAATCACTTTTTTTTTGAGAGGGGGGAGGGAGGGCGGGGAGAAAGTTTTAAAGTCTTGTAGAACTTTCACCCAGTTAATTAACTCCATTGGCAAGAGGGCACATTGAATTTAGCCCATACCCAAACCAACTGCGGGATGGTTTAGCACAATCAATGTGCCAACCTTTTCTCTGTGTTGTAACAGAGAAGGAGAAGGAGAAAGAGAAGGGGAAGGGGAAGGGGAAAGGGAAGAAGAGGAAGAGGAAGAGGAAGAGGAAGGAGGAGGAGGAGGAGGAGGAGGAGGAGGAGGAGGAGGAGAAGGAGAAGGAGAAGGAGAAGGAGAAGGAGAAGGAGAAGGAGAAGGAGAAGGAGAAAGGGAAGGGGAAGGGGAAAGGGAAGAAGAGGAAGACGGAGAGGAAGGAGGAGGAGGAGAAGGAGAGCGGGAAGGAGAAGGAGAAGGAAGTGTGAAGGAGATAGACAAGAAAGAGTGAGTGGAGAAGGAGAGTGTTGAAGTTGTTTTTCTGGCAATTGCTTTAGGAGCAATTCTTTCTGCAGCTGGCCAATCCCTCCTCACTGCTCTGAGTGCGAATTCTGCCTGGGATGCCTTTCAAGCACCCTTCCCCCAGTCTCAGTCTTGCTGCCTTGGCATGAAGCCAAAGGTCCTGTCTGTTAGTGGCCTCTGTAATCACTTTCTTTCTTGCTACATTCCTCTCCTTTACCTTTTTTACAATTCAAAGTTCAGATTGCATGACTGAAGGAGGTACAAGATGTTCTCTTTCTTTCTTTTTTTTTTTCTGTAAGTATAGCTCTAATTCATGCATTACTTCATTGCATTTTTATAGCACTGTCATCTGCAAGGATGATGTTTAGAATACCTTTTACTCTGAATATCAACCCCACCGGTTTACCTCTACAGCCCATAAGTTCATATTCAGTGTAACACAGCACAGTCAGGTAAAGAGCTGAAAAGACAGCATACATTATGCTAAATGGCAGTATACAACATAATTTATTTTAATTTTGGTGGGGTTTTTCCCCCACTGGCTGAGCATGTAAGGCAGACTACAGATTTGACTTACGTCTGATTCAGTATATTGCAGAAACCTGAAAAAAAAAAATCAAGCAAGGTTGGTTGTATGAATGCACCCAAATATTATTAGACTTGATCTGCCCTGCCTCCCTACAGTTTCCTGAGGGGCAAACTTCCTTTCCATACAGTATCTGATCCTGCTCTGGAGCTTCTTCCTAGACAGACTTAACTTATGTTCTCAATGTCTTTCCTTCCTTAATGGACTTTTTGAATGGAGTGGAAAGACCCACATACACCAGAAAAAAAAAAAAGAAAGAAAGAAAGAAAGAAAGAAAGAAAGAAAGGAAGGAAGGAAGGAAGGAAGGAAGGAAGGGAGGAGGAGGAAGGAGGAGAAAGGAAAGAAAGAAAGAGGAAGGAAGGAGGAGGAAGGAGGAGGAAGGTAGGGGAGGAGGAAGAAAGGAAGGAAGGAAGGAGAAGGAAGAAGAAAGAGAAGGAAGGAAGGAGGAAGGAAGGAAGGAAGGAAGGAGAAGGAAGGAGGAGGAAGGAGGAGAAAGGAAAGAAAGAAAGAGGAAGGAAGGAGGAGGAAGGAAGGAAGGGGAGGAGGAAGAAAGGAAGGAAGGAAGGAGAAGGAAGAAGAAAGAGAAGGAAGGAAGGAAGGAAGGAAAGAAGGAAGGAAGGAAGGAAGGAAGGAAGGAAGGAAGGAAGGAAGGAAGGGAAGGATATTTGGTTAATCTTCTTTTAGTACCCAAAACCCAAAAGAAGATTAACCAAATATTAAAAGTGAAATTTTTCCCTTGGAAAATCTGAAGCTGGTGAACAGTGCTTACTAGGTGCTTACATGGTCTTTCAATCATTTAGCTGATGCTTATGAATATGCCTTGTACCTATTCCTTCTCTAAAGAGCATGTACCGAAGCACACCGATGCGTGTGCAAGCAAACACAGAGGTATGCCCTAGGGATGAATCTGAATTTGAATGGAGACAGATTCCACCAAAGTGACAGAGTCACAGACCCAGAAGTGAAAGGAGAGGAAACCAAAAGTATTTCCAAGCATGAGCAGTGAACCCAAAAGCTCTCCTCCTCAGCACTTTTCACACATCTGGCACAAAAGTTACCCTTCCCTCCCCCCCCTTCTAAAATCCAGTCATTGTTTTCCTGGCCCCCATAAACCCATAAAGAAAAAAAAACTTACCAAAAGACGCGTAGCTTGGCCCAGATGAATGGAAGACAGCAAGATCCTGTGCAGCATTCAGAACATCTGGCAGGTTGGGAGAACCATGGCATTCACCCTTTCAGATACTGCAACTGACAGGATGCGGTCGTCCGTTGCCCTCCCTTGCAGCTAAGAGAACTTGTAACTCAGGGAAAAAGCATTTTGAAAATCTCTGAACCCGTCACGCCCATCAACTTTCCGCCAAAGGTGAGTGAACTTTTCCCCAATTGGAGCCTCTTGGCTGCTTGTCAAAAGCGAAACTCGTGATTCTGTCTTGGTCCAGAAAATGCCCCATGCAGAAAAGGCCATCCCTCTTCTCATTCATTTTCTTGAATGAACCCAAATGCCATTACTACCAATGATGTTTTTCCTCACCAGTCTATAGCTAGACATGTAGTCTTCCCTGTGAGACTTATTTCCATTTCTCTTTTAAGATGCTCCAGAACAAGCTGCTAGATTTTATGCGACAAAAATGTCTCCATTTAATAATAATAATAACTTTATTGTCATTGATTGTACGTGCATACACAGTATACTCATACAACAAAATTCACTTAACACCCAAGGATCAGGTCCAACACACATAACAATCTCCAAACACCCCACCACCCACCACAATTCCCCACCCCTAAACCACCAAACATCCACACAACAGACCAAGTCATGCTGTCCAATAGCTCACTGATGGTAGCCCTTGAGTTCATTGTTGAGTGCAATTATAGCTCTGGGATAAAAACTATTCAGAAAATGTGTGGTCCGAGTTTTAATTGTTCTGTATCTTCTGCCAGAAGGCAACACTCCAAAAAGATTGTAAGCAAGATGGGAAAAGTCTCTGAGAATGTTATGCAACTTTCTCAAACAGCCAGATTCGAAGATGTCGTCCAGGGTTGGTAGCTGGAGCCTGATGATATTCTGGGCAGTTTTAATGATTCACTGTAGAGCTTTTTTGTCCGCTACAAAGCTGCTCGCATACCATGAAAGAATGCCGTATGTCAGGACACTCTCAATGGTGCTGCGATAGTAGGACAAAAGTAGATGCTGAGATAGATTTATCTTCCTGAGCATTCTCAGGAAGTACAGCTTCTTCTGTGCCTTCTTCGCAAGCATTTCTTTAGACACATGCACTCTCTTTCTATCATCTTTCTATCTCTACCTCTACTTCTGTTTATCTTTATCTGTTTATCCATCCATCCATCATTTTCCATGGATGCATGGCAGTGGTGAAATCCATTTTTTTTTACTACCAGTTATGTGGGCATGGCTTGGTGGGTGTGGTGTGGCTTGGTGGGTGTGGCTTGGTGGGCATGGCAGGGAAAGGATACTGCAAAATCTCCATTCTCTCCCCGCTCCTGGGGGAAGGATATTGCAAAATCTCCATTCCCACCCCACTCTGGGGCCAGCCAGAGGTGGTATTTGCCGGTTCTCCGAACTGCTCAAAATTTCCGCTACGGGTTCTCCAGAACCTGTCAGAACCTGCTGGATTTCACCCCTGAATAAAGGCTATAATAAGGCCTTCCTTTAAAAAACTGGAAGCTGGACAGAAAAATTTCCCTGCTATGCTTTTCATGACTTGATAGGATGAGGCCACTGTGCAAATAGCAATAGCACTTAGACCCATAGACCGCTTCATGGTACTTTACAGCCCTAAGCGGTTTACAGAGTCAGCATATTGTCCCCAACAATCTGGGTCCTCATTTTATCCACCTCGGAAGGATGGAAGGCTGAGTCAACCTTCAAACGCTCAAAACAACCCCCAAAGATTATATATATCCTTTTGCTGAGTGCCTTTATTTCTGATTCAAATTGCCAAAGGGGTGGTTGTGACATCAGCATAGAGATACATATATTCAACAGCACAGTTGCGGTAAGTCTTTTTCCCTGATGCACTTCGCATTTAGATCCATTTCTCCTTTTATTTTTCTCAGGTTCAACAATCAGAGCCTGCTACCAATTCTGCCCTGCATTTCATTATCACTTGAGTAAGCAGAAGGAATCCTGCCAAGAACATCTCTGGTGGTTTTATTTCAGTCCACTTTTGCCCTTGGTATGCCTCAGAAGAAAGTGCAATCTGCATTTAGTATATTTACTTTGGTTTATCAGTCCTTGAAACTGTTCTGTTTGCAGGGTCTTTAACCTAGGCTCCTGGTTACAGAGTAACCAATCACATATGCATCATACTCAGTAGTTTTTATGTCTGAGGATGCATGTCTATAAGGATCGTATTTCAGGTCTCGTCTTCTGACATTATCTTTTTTTTTTTTTAAGAAATCTACATGAATTCATTTGTTTCTTTTATTAGTTTATAACCCAAGAGACATTGGCATTCTATAATGGAGATAAGCAACAGTTTTGAACTATAGTTTTATAATGTATTTATAGGTTGCCAGGTAATTTAAAACAATTTCAAAACACAGTTCAGGCCCTTTTTTTATGCTTAAGATTACATATAGTTCCCAAAGATCTGCAGTGTGATCATTTTCTTTTAGAAAATAATGTTTTAAAAAAGCAGAGATAATAAAATCATAAAGTTTGCAGCTATTACTCTGGTTCTCAATGCCTTATCGGCATGAAACTTTAAAAAGCAGGTTATAAACGGAGCTACAACTTAAATGCAGGATTAAACACAGGATATAAATCTTTATAATATCTACCCCTCTTCAAGATTCACCATAACCATCACTGCCATCTATCTAAATCTGGGGTCTGCAACCTGCGGCTCTGGAGCCGCATGTGGCTCTTTCACCCCTCTGCTGCGGCTCCCTGTCACTCAAAATATGCATCATAACTGCCAATGTGCGACACCCATCGGAATATGATTTATTGAGCTTTTCAACCCCTGGTAGGCCAAATCCAAGAAATGAAAAGTTTCAGAAGAAAACAGAACATTTAATTCAACTACATATGCTAGTTTTGTGGCCGCTCAAGAAATAGTCAGGCACCGGAAGGGTTTTGTGGCTCCCAGTGTTTTCTTTTCTGTGGGAAACGGGTCCAAATGGCTCTTTGAGTGTTTAAGGTTGCAGACCCCTGATCTAAATCAAAGCAATTTCTTTTTAAACTGGGGGTAGGGGTGGATCAAACCCTTTCTTGATGCAGAAAATCAAATTAAAAAAAAAAAAATCCAAATGCTGCAAACTATCCCTGCAGGTTGTTAAGCTTTTAGGAAGGAATAGCAGGCAGCATCTCCTCCCAGCAAGCATTGTATGTTCAGTTCTAAAGCTCTCCCTGTTGAATTTCTGCCTGCAGTGCAATGCAAGCAGTTGGACAGAGGCATTGACATTGACATGTTGCAAAGAGGCATTAACACTCCAGCTGCCTTCCCACCATTCTGCTAACCAATGGCAAGTCTGCAGGCTAAACCAGTTTCCCGTTTAACCCTGGTTAGTTCATTGGTGGCTCATTGTATTTATTGGGTGAACAATAGCAACTGCTGCATAATCTTTGTGGGAATCCAAAAAAGAGGGGGGGGGGGGCTTCAGTCACTAGTTCAAGCGAGTTGTCTGAACGCGCAAGCCGACAAGCCTTCCCTAGCAAAGGCTCCCAGAGGTCGCCATGGATACGGCGACTCCCCGGTTGCTATGGCTACGCGGCAAAGCCCCGGGGCTCGAGGCAATCCCAGAAGCCCCCGCGGCGAGCTCGCTTGGGTTCAGGAATGGTCGCTCACTGTCATCTACGTCATCAGGGCGCGACGTCCAGCCAGGGGGAATTGCGGAAGCGGGATCCGGGGCGGCGATGAGCGCGCGGTTCCTCCGAGCCTGGCGGGGCGGGTGGGGCCGGGGCCGCGGGAGGGGCCACGGGACCCCCCCGGGGGAGGCCCCGAGGCGCGAGGAGCCCCCCTGGCGAGTCCTCTTCTTTGGCACCGACCACTTCTCCGCAGAGATCCTCCGAGCGCTCCAGGCAGCCCGGTGGGTCTTTCGCGGGGGGGGGGGGAAGGGGGGGGGGGAGGGGAGAAGGGTGGGGGGGGGGGAATTTGGGGGGTCACCCCAATTTAATGCCCCCCCCAAACCTCAGCAGCTGTGAGGACTTCAACTCCCAGAATCCCCCAGTCAATCATGGCTGGCTGGGGGATTCTGGGAGTTGAAGTCCACCCCACCCCAAAGGTGCTTTTCCAAAAGGCAACTGGACTTTCTTGGTTTTTTGTTTTTGTTTTTCCTTGCAAGCCTCCAAGAAGAACTGAAGAAGCTTCTTGGATGAGAAGCAAAATGTCTTTCAAGGGAAAGAGAAAAGTCCAGTTGCTCTTTTGGAAAAAGCACTTTTGGGACAACCATGACCTGGATCAATGGTGGGTTTCAAATTTTTTTTACTACCGGTTCTGTGGGCGTGGCTTGGTGGGCGTGACAGGGGAAGGATACAGTAAAATCTCCATTCCCTCCCCAATTCAGGGGTAGGTTACTGCAAAATCCCCATTTCCTCCCGATCAGCTGGGACTTGGGAGGCAGAGAATAGATGGGGTTGAGGCCAGTCAGAATTTTTACTACCGGTTCTCCGAACTACGCAAAATTTCTGGTACCGGTTCTCCAGAACTGGTCAGAACCTGCTGAAACCCACCTCTGACCTGGATGACTGAGAAATCTCCATAGACACAAAGAGCAAGCCAATATTATATTTGTCGCCTGCTTAGATGACAAATGGTTAATTCTATTAACCAGGTTAATCCAGGTTAATTCCATCTTGGTTTCCAGCCTCTTGACAGTTGCTGACAGTTGGGAAGCAGTGCTGCAAACAGTTGAGTGGAGTCAACACAATAAGAGTGTCATAAAACCTGCTTAGCTTAATAAACCAAAATCCCCCCTTTTAATTCTTAAACCAGTTTATAAATGGAGAGCAAATGAGATGCATCAATAGGAAGATCCAGGGATTGGGTGCCAAATCTACAGCAGGCAGTAACCCCTGACCAACCTTGGCTGGTTCCTATCAGCCCAGCATGGTTGAATTTGGCTACAATAGGAGATGGAAGAACATCAGCAAATGCGCGACTTTAAGCTGGGATGGGAAGAAAACAATAGCAAATCGCTTACAGCTTTTTGCTATTGTTGATTTGGGAGGTAAGCTTGGCCCAAAGGAGATGCTAACTTTGGCGGTTCCAGGTGACTCTAACTTTTTGACAGGGCTCACACCTATGGATAAACCACATTATTGG